TAAATACAGTTTGTTCCCTTTACCTTGAGAATGAATATTGTGGTCTCAAAATTCAGTGTTTTTTGTTTGGGTCTGACTCCATTTCACACTGAGAGCCTGCCCTCATGTTGTATATTGCTATGATTACTGTGACATAGATACAAGATGAATGTATTCTGTGCAAATTCCAGATAGATTGGGCTTCTCATTGTATTGAGCAAGATTTCTAGAGTGGAAATGTGTTGAAAAATCATTCAGCCCGAAAAAAAACCTACAACAACCCAATCATTCACCTACTTCCACAATGTTAACCGATATTTCCATATATCAGAAGAGTAGATTGGTAACTTGTGCTTCTTTCTATGTTGTTGAACTGATAAGTCCATTGACTAGTTTGTAACAGGCTGATGGCAATTTGAGTGCAACCTCTGGATGGCAGAAGACTCATCAACTCTGCATCACATGGCAGGTGTATGAATGATTAGCTGCCATATCCACATTAAAATATACCTGTAGTTTTATTTGTAAAATATGCCTGTAGTTTTATCTTTCTACTCCCCTCTCTCTCAATTTTCATGGAATGATCTAACTTCATGGAATTGGATAATTTGAAGTTTTCTTAGCAAGAAATGCATACCTTAAAAATCTATTTGACTCACCCATCTTGCTTTCTCCCAATTTGTAAAAACTAATAATTGAGATACAGATTATGGTATATTGAATTACATGGGTGATCAGTGATTTGATACTTTGTCCATCAGTGTAGTGAGTCTTCTGATTAGGAAGACATAAAAAATCCTGAGATCATATTTCTGCCTTCTTATTACCAGTACAAAACTTTATTACGGTCACTGACCAGCACAAAGCAGGGCACCAGTGCCCTGAGAGAGAAAGGACAACTCCCCAGGCAGTTATTTAAAAGTAGATTAGCAAACAGTTTAAAATCACATTTTAAAACACAAGTTGTTATAACAGGTATTGAACCAAGGGGGGGAGGGGGAGACTGACAGGAGGGGTCAAAAACACTGGGGGGGGGCACTAAAGGGGAAGGGAGGGACACATAGCAAGTCTAGTAGCATTTCCGCTGTAACATGTTGCTCTAATTACATTCCCAACAGGGTGTTGCCTTGTGGGGTCAATCATCATCTAATTTTATGTGCAGCAGCACAAAACTTAGCAACACTGTAAGTTATTGTAGTGTTAGAGTCTGAAAGCAGCAGAGTGGAATAATATTTTTCACTGCGCCCTGGGTATTTTAGAAGCCATGGTGTAATGAGATTAGTTCTAAGATCTCTGTAGAACATTAATTGAAGAAACACGTGCTCAGTTGTTTCTACATGACCAGACTCATAGGGGCATAGTCTCTGCTTGAAGGGGGTCTTCCAATACCTCCCCTCCAATACAGCTGATGGGAGGGCATGGCATCTTACCAGGGTAAAAGCCCTTTGGTGTTTGGGCACCTCCAGGTCTGTTAGGTATGCCATGGGGGCAGTGAGGTATCTAGTGGCTTCCCTAACAATAAAGGCTGGGGAACAGGCTAGGTCCGATTGGCGCTCTATGTCCAGGATCCGTTGCTTAATGAGATCTTTGACTTGGTCCCATCTCATGTTTAGCAATTGTCCTTGGGAGAAACCTAAAGTTGCAATCTTTGCTGCCACCGTTTTAATCCATGTGGACTGGAAGTTGTCCCTCATGGTTAGGGGGGCAAGACCACATGGGGAGAAGGATAGGTATAGCCAGTAATTCTGAATAGCTGTCCATGTTCTCACTTCCACTTTCACAAAGCCTGTCTCCAATCGCAGGATGGCATTAGAGACACATCTGGGAGCCTGTAGAGCTGCTCTTAGGAATTTTGATTGGACATGCTCTAATGGGGCATAATTTCAGAAGGGTCCAAGCTGGGCTCTATACAGCATTTGTGCAACTGGTTTTGCTTCAAAAAGCTTACGTGCCACTGGTATAGAGTGACCTCCTTCCTTTTTGAGATATCTTAAGATAGCGGATGAGTTCTTTTGTGCTGTCTCTGCTGCATACTCTGTGTGGGCTTTCCTGCTGTTAGTGCTATGGAGGGTTACTCCCAGGAATTTAAAACTTGAGACATACTTAATTTTGTTTCCATCTATTCTCTGGTTGTACTTCTTGGGTCGTTTAGCAAACACCATAGTTTTAGTTTTCTGAAAGTTGAGATGCAGCAGTTCTGCCTGGCAGTAATTCGTTAATACTCTCAGGGCTCTTTTCAGTCCAACTTGAGTTCTAGAAGAAGAACTGCGTCATCTGCATAAAGCACGGTGGATAGATGCCTTCCTGCTAGTTTTGGAGGGTGGGAGTCCAAGTTGTATAGGTGTTCCATCATAGAGTTAATATAGAAATTGAATAGTAATGGGGCCAAAATGCATCCTTGCTTGATGCCTTTCTCAGTTTGACTACTTTGGTAAGATGGCCCTGGGGACTGCATCTTACTTTCAGAGTAGTTCCTTCATGGAGTGTTCATAATAGTTGTAGAAGTAATCTGTATATTGAGGCGGACTCAAGGTTGTGGTTGTGAGGATGCCTGCCATAGATACAGGCTAAACGTCAGGAGAGACTGCTTCTAGAACATGGCCATACGGCCCAAAAAACCTACAACAACCCCATGAAAACATTTTCCTTCTTGAGTTTTACTTACATAATTTTGAAATAATGATTTCAGTGACTTTGTTTCTTTGTTGCATTTATGCAATTTATTGTTCACATTGGATGTTTTTCTGAAAAAAAAGATTCAACCAACCCAAACTCTGTGCAAATGAAAACAAATCTGTGCTAAATGAAAATGCTAAAATATTTTGAAAGAAACATGGCAAGAAAATCAATATTCAGCTGGATCTTGTTCATATTTTCAGTTATCCTAAAATGTGAGTACTTGCTGAATGGGAAGTGCCCGAAAGGTGTATATATAAGGTAGCTTCCTGGTTGTCTAGTCTTGTACATACCATAGATTAGCTTGCAGACTTTTTGTAGTAGTCTGCCCAGATGTTCTTCCATTCAAATGAGTAATTTATGAGATTCGTCCACTAAGCTTTCTTGGCACACACACACACACACACACACTGCCTTTCAAGCATTCAGTATGGTGACTAAAGACATAAAAACATTATTAAACTTCCACATGGCCTACCCTTTATTAGCTTGGTACTTGACTTCTTTCAGTTTGAAATGCTGTGTGTTAAAGTTGTAATCTCTGGCATATAGTGATGTCCCTTACCTCATCAAGTTGTGCTTACAAAATGCAACATTTTACAAAATAAAACAGCTTTGCTTATCTTATAGATTGTTAAAACATGAAGCACATTTTCATTCTAAATAGGAAATATTTAGAGCCATGCAGTTGTTTATGTATGCAGTAGTTGTAAACTGCTTTGAGTCCCATTTGAGATGAAAGAATGAATGAATAAATAAATAAATGCATTTTAAATTATGATTAGCATGAAGAGTTAAATTTAAAGGATGGTATATACATATTTTGGCAACTTTCAGGATGCTTGAATTTGAATGGGACAAAACTGCAGTTGCAGAAAGCTGCTGTTCAGAAAGTATATAAAAGCTAAATTACAGGTTTACAGAACACCAGAAGAAGGAAATAGATGCCGTGATTGACCTGACTTTCTAACATGTGTTAATTAAAAAGCGTTGAAAAGTATTTTTTGACAAGAATTGTATGCTGTCAGATGTACGGGTTTTTTTGCCCTTAGACAACACATTAAAAGCCTCCTAGGGCTTGTTTTCTGTAAAGTTTCTGAAGCACTGAGGCAATCATTTTTCCAGAAACAATCTATTGTCAACTTGTGTTTGTGGCTCACATCCTATTGAGAATTCAGATTCAAATAACAGGCTTTTTGAATTTTTTTACATGTATCAGGTTTGAATGTTTTTGAAGGAAAAAAAATCTAGAGAATATCAGAAAAACCTGTCACCTATGTTTTTAGTTAAAACATTTATGCACAGTATTTTATAGCTTAGCTTTCATATAAGCTGCTTGATTTTGCAGCCTGATCCAATATTTATTTAAAATAGTCAGCCCTTTGAGCAGAAAGTGTTGTTTGTAGCAGGCCATGTCAAATGAAGGGATATTAAAATGGTCTTGACAATGCGGCAACATGGAAGCAAGACTAGTGCATTATTCCCAGTTACTGAAGCTTAATTTATAACATGTGCTCTGAAACAGGAGCTTCTGCAAAGCTCATAATTTACAACACCTTCCCTCGACTTTACTCAGTTGCCCTACTGTGTTCATAATGCATCAGTAGAAGTGTCTCCTATATTTTTACAGCTAAATATAAATTCTGCTATCTTTGAAATATCAAATAGTGAGGACAAAACCCAGTTTTAATATTCCCAGAATCATTTCATGGTGTGCAAACTGATGTGTAGAACCAAAGGGGTCTGTGATCCCAACTTACACCTTCTTGTTCAAATAAATTACTCTTCAGATATCATATCCATATAATCATTGTACAAATTAAAACAAGGATTTCACAAATTGTATGGCATTCTTGATGTTAGAAGACCTTTTGACACATGTGTGATGTCACATCCTTTTGTCTTCCCTACTAAATCGTACAAGACAGAGTGAAAATAGCAAGACCCATGCCCCCAATTTGCACATTGGATCATGGTCTGCAAAAGGGGAGTGGTAAGAATAAAACACAGTTGGCCCTTGATATGTGCTAGGTGTAGTTCGAAGACAACCACCCAGTCCCATTATATATAGTAGCATAGCAGAATGTTGTTCCATGCATAAAATGAGGTTTGCTTTTTAGATATTTTTTCAAGGTTTGCTTTTTAGATTTTTTTTAAAAAAAATAACATTTTTAAGCTATGGGTAGTCAAATACATGGATGTAGATTAACTCTCTCCATCAATCATTGCTCAAATGATTTCCAATGAACAAATATAAATACTATCTAGAATTCCATTTATGCAATTTCAGAGCAGATTTTTAAAAAATATGTTACTCTTATTCCATATTTTCTTTTTATAGGTTTATTGCAAACTCTTTTCAACAGCTATGACACCTGCTCTCCAAGAGAAAACAATGAAAGGTCATGGTATCTACTTATCTTCCTTGTCTTCAAGAGCAATGGAATCCAGTGAAACACTTGCCATGGGAAGTGCCAGACCTGTAAAAGAGAAGATGAAGGATGGTTCTGTTGCCAAGATAACTTGCTCTGTGTTGGGTGTTCCCACACCCCAAGCGACCCATAACACCGATTGTTTTAATTTAAAATGCTTTGATTCTCAGTCTTCGAAAGATTATTCTTTGTTAATGAAGCCCAGTTTAACTGTCAGTGTAAAGACTAAAAACTGTTCACCAAGGAACTCAGAAGAGCATAATTGCACCAAGATAAGAAATACTTTCGGTAACAGCATGAATAAACACTTCAGCCAGATTATGAATTCAGAATCTGGGGAGCAGATCAGAAAGGAAGCTTTATCAGGAACTGCAAAGAATGTACCAGAAATTGGGAGATTGCACGGTTTACATTCAACTGAATCTAGGAATGAAGAAGAAAAGCTACTTCCTAATTGTAAGTTATATCGGAAGAATGGCTTTTTGGGGAAGGCTTTATTTGTGAATTCTGAGATAAAACAAGGAGACTTATTCCATCAAGTACACCATGACACCTTGGAAGCAGCAGTGAATTATTGTCCCAATAGCAAAAAACAAGAATTGAATTTTCGCTTACTTCAGTGTGTAAACAAGCAACAAATCCTGCTCAACCAGGCTAAAAGAACTCAGAAACATTTGCAAATTCTTTTGGCAAAGCATGTTGTTAAACACTGTGATCACCAAATGAAATGCTTTGTGAAGCATCAGCTCCAGAGAATGAAAGCTTTTCATGACCCAACCAATATCCTAGGTAGCAGTGATGATAAATGCACCTCAATTAAAACTGAAAATTTGAATCCAGATGCTGATGGGAATAAAGATATGCAGCATGATATCGGTGTGGCACCTGGTGAAATCAAGGCGTTTGCACGTTCTGCAGTAGGGCTGTTATCTCAGATGGAAGAGAGCTTGGATTCTGAGGCCACTTGTAGCAGTTCGAGTGAAGATGATGATGGTGATGATGAGCAAGTTTCCAGAAAAGCAATGGCAGTGTAAGTATTAAAGCACTCATTAAAATGAACAGTAAAACATATGTTTAGGCATCAAAATATATTTTTTAAAGCAGAGTTAAGAAACAATGTTGAATATGAGTTAAAAACAATGGTTTTTTAAAAATATTTGAATAATAGTGGTAATAGCTGAGATTGAGCATTCTAAGACTATGGCAGCATGCTGTGCCAGAAAGCTATGGCTGCTGCTCAAAAACTAGCGATTTTGACTGTAATTTCAGAAGACTGGTCAGCTAAAAGATAATCACTATAAAACCTTTCAGGTAACCTGGTTTACTTTGTAAAATTGGGATAATAAAATATTGTTGATCTCATTATACAAAACAATATTAGATATTCTTATATGCTATTGTTTTTCATAATTCTATGAGACTCAAGACTGGAGCTCTGTTGTGTCGTTCGTCTGTTTTGACTTTGTCTTAGATTGCGGATCTTCATCTAGTTCATCGCAGATCTCAAATACCCATTGAAATGGCATTCAAAACAAATGGAAGCTTTTCTTAGATAAAACATATAATGCCAATGCTATATCCCTTCAAGGAGTGAAGCAAACTTAGTAGCACCAACCAGGTTTAGTGCAGTAAGATGAAATATGTCTGATTTGTCATGATTTCATATGCTGCAACTGAATTAAGGTCTTAAGATCTCTCGAGAAATAACAAGTAATAAATAGGAAAGAGGAGTGTGGGAACAAAGCAGTGAGAGTGATGAGTGTGTTGACTTCTTGACTTTAAAAAATCTAGAAATGGCTTGGCAGCCAATAGGACCCCAATTTTAAAAACATGTTGGTTGGATTACTGTAAAGATTTTATTTATGGGGCTACCTTTGAAAATGGTTCCTAAACCTCAGTTTGTTTTTGATAATTGGAGAGTTTTACAAGTAGAATTTTGACTAGGTTATCAGTCTGGAACATTATTTTTTAGGAGATTCCATTGGCTCCTTTTTGACTGCGAAGCTCATTTCAAGATGTTTTTACTTAAACTTCAAGCCCTAAACAATTTACACCCACAAATGTGAAGGAGTGACTGATATATTATCCTCCTAATGTATAGTAGAGTCTCACTTATCCAACATAAATGGACCGGCAGAACATTGGATAAGCAAAAATATTGGATAATGAGGGATTAAGGAAAAGCTTGTTAAACATCAAATTACATTATGATTTTCCAATTTAAGCACCAAAACATCATGTTTTACAACAAAACAACAGGAAAAGCAGTTCAATACACGGTAACGTTATGTTGTAATTACTGTATTTACAAATTTATCACCAAAACATCTCAATGTATTGAAACAGCTGTGGATCTGGGCAGGAGGCGGACTGCATTGGATAATACAGAACGTTGGATGAGCGAAGGTTGGATAAGTGAGACTACTGTATTAGGAATTTCAAGTACCATCAGTCAGAAATACATTATATACTTAAAAGCTAAAGAGGTTTCTTTTTGGTGTTAGCACATGAGGTAGAAACAAATAACATTAAACTTGTAGGAGTAATATGTGTGTGTGTGTGTGTGTGTATCATATGCATTTTAATTTTAAAAATCTATTCTGGTTAAATAGTTTGCTTATTTGTAATTTTATTATATATTTGTTGTTATAGTATTCGGTATATTGTCTTGGAATCCTTATTAATTTTGAAAGTTATAATAAAATAGGATATCACAGAAACTTGGGGGTTGCCCCCTCTTATTTTTTTTCTCAGCTGGGATTGTTAAAGGTCTATTGCTAAAATGTGCTGTATTCACTACAGCAAGAAAACCTTTCAATCTGGATTCTAGTCATTGGACAGGAATGATTTGGTCATGTTGGTGAATAAAGTATTCTGGTAATCAGAACTATTTCTGTTCTAAACCAGTGTCTGTTATGAATGACTGAGTGGGCAAGGAAATTGAATCTTAATGTAAACAAGACAGAGATACTCCTAGTTACTGGAAAGAGAGATAAAAGGAAAGATACTGAGATTGTGATGTGCTCTGGGATTTGGTCCTAAACCCAGAGGCTTAGGTTTTTCTTTTGGAAAACTTATGGGGTCTAGCAATGCTTGGGGCCAGCAATGTTTTTGCACTGTTAAAGGTAGCAAATTTGATCTGGCCACATGAGCATGCCTTAAGGTGCATCTGCATTGTATAATTAATGCAGTTTGATAGTGCTTTAACTGCCAATGCTCTTAAATCATGGGAGTTGTAATTTAATAAGGTCTTTAGCCCTTTCTGCCAGAATGCTGGTGACTCACTAAATTGCAATTCCCGTGATTCCATAGCAGTGAGCCTTGAAAGTTAAAGTGATGTCAGACTTCATTAATTGTATAGTACAGTGGTTCTCAACTTGTGGGTCCCCAGATGTTTTGGCTTTCAACTCCCAGAAATCCTAACAGCTGGTAAACTGGCTGGGATTTCTGGGAGTTGTAGGCCAAAACACCTGGGGCTCCACAGGTTTAGAACCACTGGTATAGTAGATACACCCTTAGTTATATTCAGCTTGGGGCTGCCTTTGAAGAATGTCCAGAAATTTTACCTGGATCAGAGAGTTGAGGCCAGACTTTTTTGCTTTCCCTAATTCCCAGAGGCTCTTAAACAGCCCAGAAAATTTTAAAAAGCAAACAAAAAACAAGGTGAACAGGGATGTTGTAGAATCCATGCCTAGGTGTTACTGAAGAGCTTATTCTCAAGATATTTCATGGTCCTGAAAGACAGTGGATTTCACTTGATACTAGACCTTTACTTGGCCAATTTATTCATCCCATTGAAGAAACCTCAGATATATTAACTTGATCCTTCCAGGGCTTAAGAAGGTAAGAATGGACATTGTTTGCAGTGATCAGTCCCTGGGACATTTAGTTCTATTTACTGATCTGACCATTCCGTTGTTCGTTCCTTGGTTTGCCCCTGGAAACTAATGCTTCTCTTTCATAATATTGTTTTTTGAACTAATCACAGCCAAAAGTTTCTTTACAAAACTTATGGTTGTTACTTTGTGGCTACATTACAAGGGCATCTGGTTGATAGCAATTCATGCCAAGGCCAAGATTGTCCAATTTACAAAATCTGAAATGGAGCTCTTTGGAGAAAGGAGGAAAGATCGAAATTCCAGAGACTCAATTTCAGGTTTTTTTTTAAACTGCCTTGTCTTTGGAGAAGGAAGGAAGGGAGGGAAAATCAGTGTCAATCAGCATTGCGACTATTAGAAAATTACGTAACACAAAAATAACAATTTTACCATCCAAAAATGAGGGTGCAACTATTACTTGATGATTACTGTTCTGTGGTGAAATACAGTGTATGATCATAAGTTTTCTTTGCTTATTTGTGCTAATAAGGATATGGGGTTTCAGAAATATATGAGATGCCAGCAGTGTTAGGCCAGAGGCCAAATGCATTTTCTATATTTCATGAAGTGTTCATGTCCAGTCTATTCTTCAGTCAGGCTACTTCCCTGAGGCTAGTTGATGTTTCATACTTGTTGGGTTATTTCAGTACTAAACTGCTGTATTGATATAGTTCTCATTTGTTTAACAAACAAATGTTTTTACAGTTTATAAAGTTGGTTACTTGTTGGTTTGTTTATGGGTTTTCATAAACCCATAAACAAACAGGGTTTATGGAAAACAAGATGGTTTTCATTTGTGGTTGAATGTTTTTAATGGATCTGAGTATTCTTGTAGGGGATCGCCAATTTCTGTTAAAGCAGTACTACTCAAAGTGGTGTTCCATGGACTGGTGCCAGTCCCTGAGCCATTGGCTGCTTTTCTGTAGCAGATTTCCAGGAAAGTAAGAACAGTTAGACTCAAATGCAGTGGCAGTCCCTGGCACTTTGGAAAACACTTATTGCTAGCCCCTCACATTAAATAATTGAGAAGCACTGTATTAAAAAAGTGTCACAGTTAGCAAGATGTTAATATACTTTATTTGTTATCTAGTTACATATATATTAAAGTATACTTCTTTTCATATCATCAACATGAGATGATTCTGTGATTTTTCTTCCCTTTAGCTAGGTAAACACTGAATTTTAAAGAAGGGTCTTTTTAGTTTAAAAAAAAAACAGTTTTTTTTTCTACTTTTCCTCAGTCCAGAATTTGATTCCTTCACAAACAGTGATCTGTCCTGTTAAGGTTTTTAAACATAGCACTTATTTTATCAATTGGATTACACAGTCTAAAAAATGGAACAGTGATATGGGCTGTTATGGTAGACATTAAAGAAATCAGTTGGATGTATTTTATGCTAGGAAGATATGTTGCTAGTGAAGAATTTGCTGCTCATCAGAATGCCATGTAGAAACCATTGGAGACTTTTGGCAGCAGTTGAGATGCTTTTGAAGCATATGGCATCTTGGATATTTAAACCCTGGAGAAGTAACTGTGTTATTCTGTTACCAGAAATCCGTGCACATAAGAGTCTTTTGGCCTCTTTATAAACCAAAAGATGTATTGAGACTTAATTGTCTCAATGCAGAAGCATTATAAATGGCTTACAGACTTGTGGCACCTTTTACTCTGTGTGGAAGATTTAAATAACTTCCTGAAATGAAGATCATCTTTCGTTGGCTAACTAATGTTCTCTTTTCTTCCCAATAACTATAGATGTGACTGCAAATGGCTGGTAGAGAGAGCCAAAGTTGGCTGTCGCTGGACATGGCTTCAAGCCCAGATCTCAGAGCTAGAGTACAAAATTCAACAACTCACTGACCTTCACAAGCAGATCCGTGCCACCAAGGTATGGTTAGTGGGCAGAGAAAAAGGCTTGCATAAATTACCAAGATTTATACATGTTTTCTCTGTATTTGAGTTCTTCCTAGCCAAGAGTGATATAATATTAACCAAGATAAATTAAAAAGTTGGTTGGCAGTTGCAGGCAGTCCTTGAGTTGCAAACATCCAACTTACAAATGACTCCTAGTTAAAAATGGCGGTCAGGCAACAGGAAGTGAGAGAAATCTACCCCTCGGAAGGGAAATTCACTCCTGTAACAGTTACAAGTGTTCATGGGGGGAAAGTGTCTCAACTGAAGCTTTATCACCAGTCCTTATTTCCACAAGAAGCCTTTTTTTCAAAATCAATTTATCACAGGGACAGAAAGTGAGGTGAAATCTTCTGGATAGGGCCACAGACAGCAAAATCAACTCCACAGGGGTGTTAACATTTTGCCATACTATCCAAAGCTCTCTCTCTCTCTATATATATATGTTATATATATGTTAAATATATGGCTGGACTTACACTTAAAGAATGTAACTGTTCTGACTTAGAAACAAATTCAACTTAAACCTATAAACCGATCTTATTCATAACATGGGGATTGCTTGTTGAAAATAGCAACCTTCCAAGCTTCCATTGACTGCTTGTTAATGTATATACGATTGTTAGCCTGCATTCTATGTGTATGTTGATTTGCCAGTTTGACTTACCTCTTTAATGTGGGAGGAGTTATCGATGTGATTGTTCTGAATGTGATTGTACTGAGCATGTGCAAATACAGGACTCCATATTGTTTTCGGTTTGCTTTTGGACTTCAGTGTAGTAAGTCTGTTCACCACTTCATTGGAAGTGGATGTGTGCTCATGGACTTTAGTGAGTACAGATATGCTTAAAGACATTTTAAAGACTATGTGCCTATATTCTAAATATATATAAGTTTTTAGTAAACAAGATATGTTATTTTTCAAAGAAGACTACTTTGTATTGTCTCTTGAGTGCATGTTTTAAGGGAGTGTATATCTTTTGGGTAACTGCAAATTCTACTTCAAACAACCATCCTCTGCTAACCAGATATATTTTTATAGTTGCCTGTCTTTATCCTTGGCTGTTTAAAGACATGGTTCCTCAGTTTAATAGCAGTGCTACCTGTGGTGCTATTACATTAATACTGTATAAATATCACTTGTCTTAAGGTTTGACTTCTAACAAGGTCACACCATTATTGACTTGTGGTTTTCAAGTGATCTCTATGTTCATAGATATTCACATTTTGCCAAACGGAGGTGACATCATTTTTACCTTTGCAATAAGATTATGGTGCGCTGGAAATTTCCATAGATTATGGACCTTCCAATACTGACTGTATAGGGAAACATGAAGCTTTGATACCAGTTTACCAGGCTTAAATTATGTTACTTCTATGAGAAATCATGGGTTTGTACTGTACTGGTATGCCCCAGATAAGGAGTTGTGTGGTGTAGTTTTCTCCCTCTGCAAATCTTTCCAGTCTTATCAAGATGCTGAGAGCATGGTATCTTGACTTAGATTTGAAAAGGCGGGGAGTGTATTCACAGTATTTATGGAAGGTTCAGAAATAAGAACCAAACTATTCTATGAGTCTCCTTTTCAAAGAACAAGGAACAGTCATATTTGTCTGAAAGTTGAATATAATCCCACAGTTTAAGTCGCCTGTATCTCATTTCTGCAAGAAAAAATAAATATATCCAGCTCTCTTGGTGGTTATGTAATGTGCAATGATAAGGATTTCTATATTAATGCCTTTCTGTGCATAGTTTGTAAAGCTCTACAGTGGCAAAATTTCAAGATGGAATATTGAAAGAGGGTATATATAGTTTTGAGTTCTTCTTTCTAACAATTATCTTTGTGGCCTGTTGTCATTGCAACTTAACTATAAATAGAAAAATGCTGAAGGGAAATTCCTTTCTCCATTTTCCAAAGTCTAATATGGAAAAAAAAAGTTAGAACCTCTACGAAATGCTTTCTCATAAAGTGAATGAGATATTTTAGGCATTTGTTAATTTAGAACAGCCAATGTTTCAGCCTATATTTCCAAATCCAGATACTAACATCTTGCGTGCATTTTATTACATTTTTTTTTTCATATATTCATTTATCCCTACTATTTCCCCAACTTGGGTATTCCAAAATGCCTTAGGAGTAAGTGTCACCGAAGTCAGTAAAATTGATATCTGAGTCAGTATATACAGGGATAGATTGTTTGGTTCAGTAATGTGTAGGCCTAAGGACAGGTACCATATTTTGTCTGTTTCATTTTTGTGGCTGCCACAAACTATGCTGAATTGGTTGAGATTCTATGAGATATTCATTGAAAAACTATAGCAAAATGTCCTGCAGGATGTCCCGCAAAAACAAAAGTTTAATAACTTTTTCCTATGTTTTTATGATCAAACCAATTAGGAAATGACATTTATAACCCAGGAACAAAATCATGTTACATGGTGTTGTTTAAAGAAATGAGAAAAACTAATATTTTCTTCATCTTAAAAAGAAAAACATATGATTGAGGACTTACTCCCTCCCCTCACATATACACAATATCTTTGTTAAAGAATTAGAATCATCCTTGACACTACCCAGCATGAACATGCATAATATTGAACCATGATTAAAGAATTGATGGAGAGCTTGAGCGGTGATCATGGACAGAATGTCCCATTCTTCCGTATTGTCTGTATAAAGCTTGAATATTCTCAGAACTCTAAGTCACTAATCAAAATATTTCAGATCATTTGAGCACTTGTAATCTAGGGATTAAAGTCACCATAAAATTGTTATACAACACTTGTTCAATTGCTCTTGTCTAGGGAATGGTAGTCTTAGAAGAATTTTCCGTTTCAAAAGATGCTCTGAAGAAGCGAAAACAACAGGCAGATCAAGAAACTGTATTAAATGCCACTGGGACTTCTCAAGCTTCCCTTGAGAGACAGGATGCCTGGCCGGAACATGATTTTGAAACGTCACCCAGCAGTCCAACTCTGCTTCTTCGTAACATAGAAAAACAAGTAAGAGTAAACATCAAAGAGAATTAGATGTGTTGCAGAATGATTACAAATGATGTATAATTAAGTGATATCCCTAGAAATATTTTGGTTTGTTTCCGTAACTACAATCAGTGTGGATTGTGGAAATGAAGAAATTGTCTATTTGGTATCTTTGAAGCACTAAGCTTTATTGTATTTCTCAAATACAATAAATCAGTTTAAATGATTTTAAAATGTTTATTTATGTTTTATTGTAAAGTTGGTTTTATAGGTTGTTGTTACATGTATGGTTAATTTGTATTATTTTTAAAATGTTGTGAGCCACTTTGTATTCTGTTTAGGGAGAACAGCAGGATTCAAATAAAGATTTATTATTATTATATATTATATTACATTTAGACCAGTGCTGAGATAGATTAAAGAATTGTACTGGTGAAACTCCTTGTGTAATTTAGTCCTTTTCTAATATAATTGTGATTTTATTTATTTATTTATTTATAACCCGCCCTATCTCCCCAGGAGGACTCAGGGTGGTTATCTTGGAGAGAGTTGCCTGTGATATATTCTCAAGGAACTTTTCACAGGTGAAGTGGAGTATCTTGTGGATACCACTGCTGGTAGAATAGTAGTTAAAACAAAGGAGTTAGGATTATATGGTAAATCTTTTGCTTAATGTAACTGTACTTCATGCTATGCCATCCCTTGTTGAGATTTAGTGAGATGGAGAGCACATCACAAATTCATCTTGCTCCTTGCCTAAAAGGAAAAAAATGCCAGGATGCCTCTGATTTATTTTGCTCCTCATGAAATGAGTTCCTCCATTTCAGGTAGAGGACCTATCCTGACTTTCTAAGCCTTCCGTAATAGCTGTAAGCCTCTTTTCTGCTTGTTCCCCCTGAGCAACTCCTTGAGGTTGATGTAGGGGTCTTGAGACTGTCCCCCACGTTATACACTACCAACTCCTGTTGTTAATTGTATGTGAAAGAGATCCAGGTGGGAAAAGTTGGCATGAAGCATAATCTATTGCAGGGGTCCTCAAACTAAGGCCCGGGGGCCGGATATGGCCCTCCAAGGTAATTTACTTGGCCCTCGCTCAGGGTCAACCTAAGTCTGTAACGACTTGAAAGCACACAACAACAACAACAACAACAATCCTATCCCATCAGCCAAAAGCAGGCCCACACTTCCCATTGAAATACTAATAAGTTTATATTTGTTAAAATTGTTCTTCATTTTAATTATTGTATTGTTTTAAAGTGTTGTTTGCTCTACAAATAAGATATGTGTGGTGTGCATAGGAATTCGTTCATGTTTTTTTCCAAATTGTAGTCCAGCCCTCCAACAGTTTGAGGGACTGTGACCTGGCCCTCTGTTTAAAAACTTTGGGGATCCCTGATCTATTGTATATGCCAGGGGTCCTCAAACTAAGGCCTGGGGCCCGGATGCGGCCCTCCAAGGTCATTTACCCGGCCCTCGCTCAGGGTCAACCTAAGTCTGAAACAACTTGAAAGCACACATAAAAACAACAATCCTAGCTCATAAGCCAAAAGCAGGCCCACACTTCCCATTGAAATACTAATAAGTTTATATTTGTTAAAATTGTTCTTCATTTTAATTATTGTATTGTTTTAAAGTATTGTTTGCACTACAAATAAGATATGTGCAGTGTGCATAGGAATTCATATTTTTTTCAAAATATAATCCGGCCCTCCAACAGTTTGAGGGACTGTGACCTGGCCCTCTGTTTAAAAAGTTTGAGGACCCCTGGTATATATCTTCGGCTTTCAATGCTATCAAAATTTCTAGTATTCTTCGTTTTCTTAATACTGTTCTCCTTCCAGTCTCCACTTTCTTCACCTCCTCTCCTCTTCTGTTTCAACTTATCCCATTTTTCCTAGTCTTAATCTTCCCAATCCCATCAATTTGCCTTTTGAATCCTGTTGAGCATTGAATGATCTGCCAAGTCCAAAGTGCCCACTGTCAGAGATGGATACTGCTGTATGTGGCTAGCCTATTCTGGCAACGTTAATAGATAGTTTTACCCTTTGAGAAAACATTTGTATTTTGTGTAAAATTTGAATTGTGTTTCAGAAACCATGTGTTTTGTTTTTGGAGAGAGGCAGAAAGACTTCACACAACTGTATTTCATTTCATAATACAATATTTAGGATTTAAATAAATTGGTTTCTTTGGCTCTTCTCTGCTTCATTAGCGTTACTTGTTGTGTTTGTTTTGAATACATAATAACTAGAGCAGAGACTGTTGCAGTTCAAATAGGAATATTTATTTATAGTTCACAAGTTTATGATATGTTTATGATATGATATGTGCTGCACTTTAAATATAAGGGTTTTCATTTTCTTTATGGTTTATTTCAGAGTGCTCAGCTGAGTGAAATAATCAGCAGTCTCATCACTCCCCTAACTCTATCTCCTACATCCTCCCCACTCTCCCCAAAATCTTATAAGCAGAAAGAACTGGTCAATGGCATCACTTTAAGGTAGGCTGTGCTTTCAAGTACTTCCATATAGTATTGTAGTTTTAGCATTTGGGGGCATGTATTATAAAGTGACATCATTACTTTGACCAAAAATAAATATGCTATTTCATTTGTTTTGTGTGTGTGAGAAAGGAGGGGAGAGGTATCAGACTTTAGCTATGTATTGTAAAATCGGAATGTCATTTATGATTACTACAGTAGGCGATTAAATGTAGACAGAAATATCTAAAGGAGATATATATGAATTCTTCAGTCTTTACAGGCTATGGCCATAATAACCTTAACCCTTTACATTTTATACATTGAATGCATATACATGTATGTTATTATTTATTTTTTTTAAATAGAAGATCAATTCACATTTTGCTAGTGGTAATTTTCTATAGGCAAATGCATGTGCAGAATTATAGATGTGAAGTCTCCTTAGAACTAAGGAGTATGCTTGGTGCTCTGGAATAGGTGTGAATGTGGATCGAAGCAGGATTCCCACCAAAAAGCTATTAAGAATATTAAAAGCAGGGCTCTGTGCAGGTACAAACTCTATTTGTGTGAGTTCACAGAACACCATTCAAAAAACCACAATGACAAGTAAACAACCTGTTATTGCCCCACCCCCAGAACTTGCACACATAATTTCTTCCGGCTTCAAAATTTCTTTGGATGTTTTCATCTCTGTTCCCATTTGATTACTTGGAAGTAATACCCCTGTGAATACTGGGAGTTCATTTTTTCTTACATAAATAATGGAAAACATTTTTAAAGTTTTAGAATTAAGAAATTAAAATGACTTTTTGATCTGACAAAAATTAAATAAGTCTTGACCAACAAAAAGATGCTTCATGGAAGTTCCTTACTGAGTGCAGCTGATCTTAAATTTGGTTATGGAACAGAGCTTAAATAATATAATATTGTGCAATAGCCAGTTTGTCCCTTAAACTCTCTAAGCAATCTAACATAATTCTTTGACATGTTTCAGAGATCCTGAGCACAATGAAGAAATTTCATCTTCTAGTAACTGGTTGATTGATCAACAGCATCTGAAGAAAAGAAGGAAAGACAAGACAAAGCTGAGAACACCTTCTGTGATGACCACATCTGCTCGCACTAGACCACTTCAGAGTTTTCAGAGGAGAAAACTCTATAAAATGAGTACCACTTTCAGTTTGAACCAACAGGTGCAAGTGTGTTTCTTTGTTTATATACAAAACTATATTAAGATACTGTGTTTGTTGATTAAGCATAGTAATTATGTTGTTTTCACCAAAATATGAATATTCCCTGTTTCAAGAAGGCAAGTCTTGAATAAGCTGGTCAAACATAAGGCTGGCCACAAAAGCTTAGCAGGATTTCATAAGTTGGCCAGGTTGGTCATTGTTACTTTCATTTTAATAACTAGCTGTGATGTTGGATCATAAGTACTGTATGGAATTTCGTTCTTCCTAGTAATAAATAAATCAGGTAAAGCAAAGACTGGAAGTTATAAATTGCATTTTCTTTGCTGTTAAATGCCAGCACCTGAGACTTTGGAAGCATTCCTTAAGGATAGCAGTGGACTGAATGCTACATGCAACTCCTCAGAGCTCTTTTTCAAATACCTCCCATTTCTTTTGCTCCAGAATACCCCCAGATGCACTCTAGAGGATATGGCAGTATTTCCCACTGAAACATTTGTAGGATGCATGACTTCAGAGCTAAGTTGGAAATACTAAAGATGGAAAAATGTGGTGATAGACATATCTTTTCAGATAAAATGTCTATTTTCATATTCTGTTCTGATAGCAGCATATTTCTCTCCCTTGCCAGGCTTCTGTGGAACCTTTGCTATACTTTAGGGAACATAGTCAGCACTAAAAAGTTGGAGTTCAAATACCATATTGAAAGGTGCCCTTATATAGTCTTTGGCCCCATCTATACTATATAATATACTATAGATCCAATCAGTCCATACTTCAGGAAATAAAGCCCAACTGCTCATTGGAGGGAAGGATATTAGAGACAAAGTTGAAGCGCTTTGGCCACATCATGAGAAGAAAGGAAAGCTTAGAGAAGACAATGATGCTTGGGAAAATGGAAGGAAAAAGGAAGAGGAGCTGAACAAGGGCAAAATGGATGGATGGCATCCTTGAAGTGACTGGCTTGACCTTGAAGGAGCTGGGGGTGGTGATGGCTGACAGGGAGCTCTGGCGTGGGTTGATCCATGAGGTCACGAAGAGTCGGAAACGACTGAACAAATGAACAACAATATACTATATAATGCCGTTTAACTGCACTGAACTGCATTATATGATAGTGCATACAGTATTCGTATAATCCAGTTCAATGAAGTTGAACTGCATTCTAAAACTGCATTATATGGCAGTATAGATGGGGCTTTGAAATATCAAGCTTGGGGAACAATTGGTGCTTGGGGTGACATTAGAGTATACAATTCCATGCTAGTATGTCAATGTGGACACACAAAAAGAAAGGTAGTGTAAATGACAGTGTTCACAAACTTTCTGTTTAAAGGAATGAAAAAATGTATTGTGCAGAAAAGAAGTGGGTAGGAATTGGGAGTTGGGAGATTGCAGCAGCCCCGTGAGGAGAACTTGTATATCTCCTGCGTTAAAAAAAGTAGCCCCGTATTGGTCCCAAACACTCTGTTAAGGGGTTTGAGGGGCACTCTGTGTCTGGACTCTCCTGAGCTGTTTTAGGCCTCTTTTTACAACAGAAAATAGCCTGGAGGGCCTATACTAAAAGACCTATCATATAACAGAGGTGGGCAGCTCAGTGTCTGCCCACATGCTACTACATTGCAGTTGTCATGTGCTCCAGCTTGCAAAGTTAGTGATTGAGGGATGAGACAGTTATAATACATCAACATCTGGGACTCACAATATTTTCTACTTCTGCGCTACAGAGAAACACTCTCCTTCCCAGCAAAAATGTAAAACAGTGTATATTTAACTAAATCTTTCAAGTGCTTAGTAGGGTTGGATATTATGCTTTAGTTAGTCAAGTCATCCAAATGCTTAGATAGGGTTGGATTGTATTCCTTTGCAAGACATATGCACGCACAAAACCATCTTACCAATTGAAAGAGAACTCCTGAACTTCATACCTTTGTCCTAGTATTGCCTTTCCCTTGAAGCAACGCTATGGGAAAGAAGGAGAAACTATAAATATTTTATTGGAACACTGCACTCTATAGAAACATGTTACCATATGAATCTGTTTTTTGTTTGTTTTGGGGAATATGGGTTTTAGCTGAAAAAGCTTACACAGCTGCAGTGCTCAGTTTACAGGAAATTGATATACTTAACTTTTTCCATATTTGTGCTGTTCCAGTAAAGCTTCATGGTCTTAGTAGTGCCTTACGATAATCTGTGTTAAATTAGCATTCACCTCAGCATGAGCAAGTTCTGAAGACCTTGAATTGCATTAAATACAAAGCAAAAATCCATTTTCCTTAAGTAAATAAATAAACGTGAATCTTTTACATAGACAAAACCTTTACAAAATGAAGTATGCTTCATAATGTATGTTCAATATGCTGAGAAGTTTATCCTCTATTTCAGTACTACATTTTGTGTGTTCCTTATTCAAAATGCTTGGGACCAAAAGTGTTTTTAATTTTTGATCTTAAAAAAAAAAATTGGAATACCTTTATATGCATAGAGTTGGCATTCATATCCACAGTCTACATCCACGTGGCTCAAAAATATTTTAAAACAATCCAAAAAGCAATCCTTGATCTTGTCATTCTATATAAAGGGTGCCATTTTGCTACATCATTGTTATGTAATGGGTCTTCGACATTCATGAATTTTGGTTTCCATCTTGAGGTTCTGGGGCCAAACTACATTTTGGAGATGGGACCCAAGTCATGTTTCATAAGCTTTTTAATATATAGTCTGATGGTAATGTTATACAAAATGTTAATAATAGTTTTGTGCATGAAACAAAATCTTTGTGCTTTTAACCATCACAAAACAAACTTCTCACTGTTTCAGCCACCCATGTAGTTTTGGATTTTAGAGAATTTTAGAATTCTGTATAAGAGATGCTCAACCTGTATTGTGTTTGGGGGCATGGTGGAAATAGAATATTTTGCAAGTTATACCTTAAACTCTTGAATCAATATCAAAATAAGATTGGTATGAAATGTACCCTCTTGTTGATTGTTCTATCAGTATCAAGCTAAATTTCGTTGTCAAATAATTTGGAGAGTTTAAAAAATCTTTAAGCTTTTTGACTGGGATGTCACCAGTTGTATTTTATGTACAGCTCATTAGAATGTCTTCACTTCTTTAAAAATCTCTCAGGCTCATTGGAAATGCCGATTGGTTCATGCTCTCATGCTTTTTCCATACATATTTTTGAGTGAGAAAAAAAGGTAAGAAAGTGTCTAGTGCTAACTTTCTGCCAACAAAAAATCCCATAAGAATACAAAGTAGCATCTTCAAAGAGCTGCTGGCTAAATTCTTTCTGATTGTTTCGAATTCTGTAATTCTGAATATTATGAGCTGTATTCTTAGGACCTTAAGAATATTATTTAGTGGGAGAGATAAAATGATAGCATCTTAAAAAATTAGTATTTTTTTCATTGAATAATCTGACACAGTATGAGTGCTGTGTGAAACCACTGCTTCGTTCCCAACTGTATTTATCTCTTGAACAATTTTTATACGAGATAGCACTACAACATTGAACATTACAGCTTTGACAAACCAAGAAAAGGTCTACTACCTGAGCTTCTCTATTTAGCACTGAGTCCAGGAGACCCCCCCCCCCCAATACTGCTCCTTGGAAGGAGTGCAACTTCATCTAAAATTTGTCCAGAGGGGTCAGTTTCTCTACTCACAATATTTTCCATCTTTTCTGAATTAATACTCTGACAAATGCATTTCAAAGGTTTTAATGCTTTTCTGTGTAAATACTATCTGGGATTGTCAGATAACTAAATCTATTTTACTTGTCTATATCTCAGAAAATATGTATTACATTTAGTGAACGGCCCTTGGTATTTGGTATTGTTGATTCAAGCTATACATTTGACTATTGAGAGAGAGGGGCTCAGTGTTGCTATTATGTTGTGGAGTGTATTGTTTCGTTTGAAATATATATTTTTCAATAGACTATTGAAGCTTTGTCCTCAGCACATCAAGGTTTCTCTATCTCAAAACATGTTTTGCATTAAAATATGTCTTAAATATCTAGTCACTGAGAGAATCCATTTGTGCTTTTTTGCACAACTAGCTGAAAAAAAACTTTGTTGTAAGGCATGGTTTACATTTCAAGTTTAAGTTTTATTCCAAATAAACTTTTTAGTGAAACATCCTATTTTATTTCCGTGGGAACTTTGGAAAATGTCAAATTTTTCATAAGAGTCAGTTTGATTCTAGGATGTCACTTACAAGTGACTGAGCAGTGAGCTCCAAAAATGCCTTAAATAACCACACATTTATATTAGCATTAAATTGTTTACAGTGAGAGGGATCTGTGGTCTTCCAGTGCAGCTGTATGTTCTTTAATGAAAATAAATGTAAACAGAGAACACTTTATATAGATTTCATAACATGGATAAACCCCCATATTGCAGCAAGTGTTTTTTTTTAGATAGTTTTTTTTAAACTGCAGATTGGACCATGATAGCAAGTTAGTAAAGACTTGGTCGAATTCTCTTCTCTAAAGAAGACCTTTTCTCCTGTAATTTTTTTCTTCTTCTTCATGCATTCTCAAGTTGAATCCTGCCCCGGTAGCAATATATTGATCCCCCCCCCCCGCCTCCAAAGCATTTCCCCCAATATATTGAAATGCATTCCATATTTGACTGAAGGATGTATTCGATGCTTTAAAAATAATGAAATTCACATTGATGGTAAGCTTAATTACATTTGTATTTTGTAAAATGAATGTTCCCTTTAAATAGTAAATGGCATAACTCTTATTTGGATTTTTAATATGGCAATTTATTATAAATATTTAAAGAATGAAAATTTTAATAAAGAAAAATGGAGAATCCCTTCTGTAGTCAAGATGAAGCTCAGATGGATTTTAAGGGGATTAATTCATTGAGGATAAATCTGTCAGGCTACCTACAAGAGCAGGAGAGTGGTATTGTGTTAAGCTTGTCTGCTTTTCAGAAGTAATTGTATAAAAGATGCTTTGGGAGCTCAGGTGAAAGCATTCACAATTCATGTGTTGTTCCCTTGACCAAATGAACTAGAAACTTTAGCTATATTTCTGCCTCATTACAACACACATAAAGGTTCCTTTCTGGTTTCCCTTTTTTATGTAAACTTTATTGTAAACATCTTATGTCCTGATTTTCTACTTTACATGGGCTTACAACTCAATGAGTAAAAGCAAGCAAATCATGCCCTGGTCAAGCTGTAAACGTCTAGAACAGGGGTCCTCAAACTAAGGCCCGGGGGACGGATATGGTCCTCCAAGGTCATTTACCCAGCCCTCACTCAGAGTCTACCTAAGTCTGAAACAACTTGAAAGCACACAACAACAATCCTATCTCATCAGCCAAAAGCAGGCCCACACTTCCCATTGAAATACTAATATGTTTATATTTGTTAAATTGTTCATTTTAATTATAGTGTTGTTTTTAAGTGTCTTTTGCACTACAAATAAGATATGTGCAGTGTTCATAGGAATTCAGTCATTTATTTATTTTTCAAATTATAATCTGGCCCTCCAACAGTTTGAGGGACTGTGACCTGGCCCTCTGTTTAAAAAGTTTGAGGACCCCTGCTCTAGAACATCAACATGTTCAGTTATTGAAACGCCACCAAAATACAGTCCAAGTGGATTACCTGGGGCAGTGAGTTCTACCACCAAGGTACTACTATGGAACTGTTTTACTAATGTCCCCACCATGGATGTGATCAAAGTCATATGCCAATTACCTCAGTAGTTTCACAGAGAAAGAGATGGTTTTGAGAGGATTCAAAGATGAATATACTGTCCTTTAGAGGTAATCACCAGCAGGCCTGAACTGCCCTGGAGACACACGGAGAGTCTGAGTAATTAACAGCGATGGCAGGACATGCTTTAGAAAATGGACTTCGGTGCTTCGCTCTGCATTATTTGAGTCTTGGAAACAGGCTTCAAAGGCAGCTCTGTATGATCTGTTTTACAGTTATCCAGTCTAGATGTAACTAATTGGAGAGTCATTAAACCCAGAGAAGGGTATAATTTTCTAGGAAAATAGAGGAGAGAATTAAAGCTGTGAAAACAACTACTAGCCATAGCTAGCTATTATTTTACTGTCCTGGAGAAAAGTTTGTCCATCCAACCTATAAACTTGATTTTTGGAAGGAAGACAACTCCATCCCAAAAGTACCTTTTTATTTAAATGAAATTGTGTTGTTTTGTCTGGATTAAGCTTCAGTTTGGTAGCAACATTTGTTGTAGAATGTGAATAAACAATAACTTTTCTGTGTAATCTTACAGACCATGCAGCTGGAAGACAGATTGTTTAACACGGAGGACGTGCATTCAGCCTCCACGTGGGATAGTTATGAATTGAGCCTGAACACACAAAAACAATTCATGTTAGAAGTGGATGCTTCATTCCATCCTATCTTATCATTTCCGACAGGTAAACATTTCTTTGTAATGATATATGTAGAGTAACAGTTCTTCCGATGTAGTTGAATTTTTTAAAAAGGTAGTGAATGGAGCAAAAGTGGGAAATTATGGCTTTATGGTCCTCCTGGTCGATCATAAACCGGATCGGGGTATAGGGTGGCAACCTGTGTTGGATGGGGTCGCACTCCCCCTGAAGTCACAGGTCCGCAGACTCATCACTTACGCTTGAGGCTCATCACTTACACTTGAGGCTCAGGCGTCGGCGGTGGCCGGGAGGGCCTTTGCACAATTAAGACTCATGCGCCAGCTGCGACCGTACCTCGTGAAGGCGGATCTGGCCAGGGTGGTCCATGCCTTAGTGACCACATAGAGTAATGCACTCTACGTGGGGCTGCCCTTGAAAACGGTTCGGAAATTCCAGGTGGTCCAATGGGCGGCAGCCAGGTTGCTTCAATTCTTGTGCTCCTTACAGGGAGAAGTCAACACTCCTGTTCAAGGAGCTCCACTGGCTGCCATTTATCTTACAGACCCAATTCAAGGTGCAGGTTCTTACCTACAAAGCCCTGAACAGTTTGGGACCCGCCTACCTACGTGACCGTATTTCTGTATACGAACCCACACGATCTCTTCGATCATCTTCGATCATCTGCTCATACTCCCACCTGTATCACAAGCGCAATTGGTGGGGACGAGAGAGAGGGCCTTCTCGATAGTGGCCCCTTGACTCTGGAACTCACTCCCTAAGGACATCAGGGAGGCCCCAACTCTGGAAGTCTTCAGAAGGAGTTTGAAAACGTGGTTGTTCCAGTGTGCCTTCCCGGAACAATGAATCCTCAGCACTTTGTCCTCTAAAGCACTTTATATCGATTTAGGTCTGTTCATATGTCTCCACTATGCCCACTTCCTTATCTCATCCATGACCAGCATCATTTTAAATTTTTAATTACATTTGGCCCAGCCATAGATTTTAAAGTGTTCTGTACTATTGTCAATGCTTATATTATTGTCTATGTGATTTATTTTAATTGCATGTATTGTTATTGTTATTGCTTGTATTGTTGTATTGCGGGCTCGGCCTTATGTAAGCTGCACCGAGTCCCTTGGGGAGATGATATATATTATTATTATTATGGCTGGAGGTCCTCTCTGGCTACTTGCTGGAAGTGGAATGGAGAGCAACTTGGAGACAGGAAAGTGAAGCAGGGGGAAGTGATAGCCACAACAATAAGCATTCTTATGAACTTGTTACAGCAGTGCTTTTGATTTATTGCGTCATTGCCAACACCGGAAGAAGGTGCTTTCTGTAACTTAAAAATCCATTTCCTCATGCATAGAAACTTGTGCAGATTGATTTGAAGTGAATCTGGGATGATGTTGTGTGATCAGGAATGTTTCAAATCATTAGGGTGCTGCTAATACATGCATGCTTCAACTCTTGTGCAACCATTTTTATAAAAGGCAAACAACAAAGAAACAATGTAATAGGGACTGACCTCCACATACGGTATTTCAGAAAACATTATTTCCTGTATTCTCAGATAACGGAACCTGTTGGTGGGATATAGAGTAATTCTTCTGATGCATGTGAACTATGATCAGATGCTGGAAATAGCCTAAAACTATTTTGGCATTTGAAGCAGTCCTTGAATTGGCTCCAGAATCAAATAAGCAGTAAATAAATTCCAAGCAAAATCAGAGTCCCGATTTACCTGTATATGGATGTGTAAAAAAGTGAAAATGTCTGCCACTAATGGATGTGGCGTCCTTTGGTACTGTTAGCAGTAGTATGAATCACATTGACATGATAACATAAAATTGACTTGTAAAATAGAGGGATAATTACTTAAAATAGACAGTTATTTTTATTTCTTTTTAAATGATACTTTATTTCATTTTCACAGTTTTATTTTTTATTATTGTGTCAGAAGCGATTTGAGAAACTGCAAGTCGCTTCTGGAAAGGGAAACAAAGGAAGAGGGGGGAAAGATGGGAGATAGTAAAAGTATGGTATGTTGGTCATGGAGTTTTGTTAGTGAATTAATTCTATATATGAGTCTGTTGTATCACCGAGTGTGACAAGGTGGGAAATTATGGTACATATTCTTTAACAAATAAAGGTGTTCTAACTACAGTACATTCCATTCCAAAGGCATTTTTTATTATTTCTGACACCGAAGAAGATGAACTGAATTATCAAAGGGAAGAGTACATTCAATTTCAGGTTAAACATTCACTGCAAACTGAGCTGTCCATTGTTACAGTTGCCATGATTCCTGTGGTTGGAATGGTTTGGAAAAGATTAATTGTGCATATATCATTGACATTCTTGTTTAGGTCCCAGTTATTTTTTTCCCCTACAAGATTCTGGATAACTCACATTGGAAAATAGATTAGAGTCTTCAAATTACCTCCGGGAAATAAGTAGAGTTATGTGGTGGTACATATATACAATGTATATGTAATCTATTCTTAGTTTTTAAATTGTTTATTTTCATATTACCCATCCATATTTTTCAGATACTCCTCTTCATGTACATTTTAGGAGATTGCTCAAGAAGTGTGAGATCAAAGGTGATCCTTTGGAGACTTCTGCCCTTGGTTTCGAATTTAAAATGTCTCCTTCAAATGGTATGTCATCCAGAGATTTTTAATTTATTTACATTTTATATGGCTTTGTTGGGAATGGTCATCATGAAACTTTGGTTCAGCTGTAGATATCTGCTTGAAATATGAGAACAAAAACTGAATTGTGATTGAAAAGGAAGGGGAAAAATTAGCATTTCTTGATTAAGCTATCTTCTATTATCCTAATATCTTTTAATGAAAGACCCACTGAGCTCATTAAGACTTATTTCTAGATTGGTGTCTATAGCTAGAAAAGATTAAATCTATTGTCCACTTCATTTGTCTTTCCAATTTTAGATGGTTTGAAGTTTCCTTAATATGTATTACTAGAACATGTTAACTTCCTGTATAATTTAAACAGGAAGGATAAATGGTAAAGTTATGTTTATTCTGTTGTAGAATATTTTCAGTATAAAACTCCTCCTCAACAGTGGAACTGTGGATATGATTCCACTTCCAGATATCAAGCTTTGTCAGAAATATCTGAACAGATGCCAGAAGGAAGGAAGAAAAGACATTTAAGTGAAACGGTGACAGGTAAGTTGGGTTAAAATGTCTCATGATTAAAGAAATGAATAAAAAGTTCATTGAGCTTACTGATAGGATAATTTACACATTGTATTGTAATTTTTTAAGCAATACTTTCTATTCTAGTTAGGAAACCCTACCTACACCTACCCTTTTTTTTGTGCTTTCCTTTCACTATGCACACGATGATAAATGATGACAGCACTCCACATGTCATTTGTTCCTCAGAAGTTTACTGTCATTTATGGATAGTGCCATTTTCCATGTGCAGCTTAAATGATAATATACGGCAGGACTTTTGTTTTACCCTAAAGTGCATTTTAGAGTCAGTATCTGATATCATTTATGCAATTTGTATTTCATTGGAGTCTGCTGAACTCATGATTAGGGATTAGGGATCCTCTGAAGATGCCAGTTGCAGATGCAGGTGAAATGTCAGGAGAAAATGCTCCTAGAACATGGCCATACAGCACAGAAACCACACAACACCCTGGATTAGGGATCTGATGCAAACCTTAATGAACTTCTGTAGTGTAGCAGTTGGTATACATTTTAGCCATTGTGACTCCAGAAGCAAGAGAGAGGTGTGCCCCCCCCCCCCTGTTCTGTAGTATGTTTGAGATACAAGTTTTCAGTAAACTAAAATCAAATCAACATACTAAGAAGAAATATTTTGTTGGGCTCTTGAAGTTCTGATACAGAATCGGAAATCATGGAATACTGTTGAAACATTCCTGGATTAATCCTTTTATAAAGATTCTCATGCAGAATTCTGATAATTACTATGCCTTCCAAATCCATTTATCCATTATCCCATGGGGCATTGAACTTACTAAAGTCAGTATTTGAGCATATATGCAGAATTAATTGCATTGCCTTTTTATTAATAGATAATGGAATCTTGTTCTTTTTTTTATGACAGGACAAAGTAAGAATAGATTTGAAGCATTTTCTTTTCAGCATGAAGAACAGCAATCCCATAATAATTTTACAGGCCCAGCTATTGGTGACATGCTGTCTAGATCAAGTCACATTTCCTCATCCCAGGTATGGTAAAACAAATTAGCAGGGAGATTTGCAACCTGATTTACAACCCATATATACATGATAAATCAGATATATGAAAAGATTAATTGTATTTGCTTTGTATATCTCCTGGAGCAGTAGAATTGGAAGAGGTATTAAGTTAGAAAAATCTATACCTGGAAAAAAGGATTTAGAAACCTTGTGTTAATTATGTTAGCTAATAAATAACAATAAGACTAATAGTATGACTAGAACAAATTACTAATTCCTTTTTACTTCTTTGTAAAAAAAATAGGTTGGATTTGATTATGATCATTGGTAGATAGATTTTAGAGAGGGTAGTAGCTATATAAAAGAGAGATATAAACTGATTGTATGTTTAAATTACTGCTGAATTAAAAATGGGACATCACTTTCCTTCTGTATCTTTTCTTTCTTTTTTTCCTTCAACTTTTTTGCTTTCTTCCTATTTTTTTTCCTTTCCCTTTATTTATACCTTTTAATGTATTGGCCATTTTCAGTATTATTTTTTTAAAGGCAAAACTAGCAGTAGCTGCATTAGAATTTGTGTTGTATTTTGATTCCTATTCTAGTCACATTCATGCATTTACTATTATTAAAGATTTATTCTTCTAAACACTACTTAGTGCTGCTTCCCTGTGTTCAGTAGTTACAACAAAGCTAGTCAAAATGAAATTTTGTCTGGCAAATATGGTATATACATTTATGTTTATACTTCTAATTACATATTCAACCCCATGTTTTATGGCACTGGCATTGTTCTGTCAGGACAAGCTTCAGAGTAATTCAGGTTTTTAAAAAAATTAGAGCAAGAACTCAAATTTCTGTGTATTGTTTTGGTTTATTAATCAAGCTTACTTTGTGTGTCTGTATGTGCTCTCAAGTCAATTTATGGTGACTCCATTAATTTCATAGTGTTTTCTTAGACAAGGACTACTAAGATGTGGTTTGGCCAATCCTTTCTCTAAAATATAGCCTACAGCACTTGGTATTCACATATTGCACCATAATTTCAGTTTTAGTGTATATACTGCTGAAGCAAGCACTATCATATCATTACTTCAGTTCAGTATGTTTTGTGATTATCCCTCATTGTAAGATGTACATTTGTATTTGGCAAAATTCCACCTGTGATTGTGACATCGGTCAATTAATATTATCAAGAACACCATAAGCATATTATCAAATATTATCAAAACCATCACTAGCATAGCTTTGATTAAGCGCCAGTCTGTTTTTAAAATTACGTTCAGCTATTATCTGATGCAATGCAAGAGGAAGTGATTTTCTTTTATTTCCAATCCCATTTCAAGATAAGATGCATAAGCACAAAATGGATTGACCTGTAGTAGAATCACAATCCCTCCAATTCCATGTTTGCTGTTTGAATAATAGTTCTGAACATTTATTCACTTATCAGTCCATTCCCTGTACTGGTCTTCCAAATATGGGCCCAAGTAGTCTAGGACAGTGTTCCCAAACATTGATAAGATACTATGGAATTCAGCTCTCTGAAGTCCCAGGCAGCATGGCTAGTGGTCAAAAATCCCAGAAGGTGAGGTTCAAAACACAGGGGTGATCAAAATTTGAGAACCAATGGTAGGACTATGTTGCAGAAACAGTGAGGAAAAACTTTAAGCTTAAAAGGGGAAATGATAACAGAAAAGCAGCACTTCGTTAGTGCTCATCTTGAGTGCTATAGTTGATGTTATAGTTCTGTGCACTGAAGTTAATTGACTGTTGTAATCATTTAATGTCAATAGATACATGATATAATTATTTTTAAATAGCTTAATTCTAGACGGAGACTAAGAAGTGAGAGCTCCTATGATATAGACAATATTGTCATCCCTATGTCGCTGGTTGCACCATCGAAGTTGGAGAAACTGCAGTATAAAGAAATTCTTACCCCAAGGTACGTGCCATTTATTTTCAGTTCCTTCTCAAAATAGCTTAAAACTATTTTTTCAATGGTTACTATCAAAATTAAATACAGAACTGAAGAGAAATTGAGGTGGTGCTACACTGACCATTTGTCCTGGGGCCAATAAGGTATAGCAAATGTCGCATCAGTCCCAGGATGGTTTTGACTGACAGCCATCCAGCCACTGCAGAGGTGGGCAATAGTCCTGGCTATACAGCAACACTGAATGCAATTTGGCAGCACTGGACAGCCACTCTTTTTGACCTTCTCGTTCTCTTTGTCACAGTAGCCATTAGGCCCAACATGAGTCATGCTAGGCCTGGAGCAATGGTTGGCTGGTGTGCCAAATGCAGGAGGTTGAGCTTGGGGAACACAGGATGGCTGGGTAAATTTGTGGCCACTTCTGTCTGTAAAGTTGTGACAGTCTGCTCTGGATTCTGGGGAAGAATTCAAGAAACCTGCAACTTTGGTTAATGTGATTCAAGGCTGTGTTAAACAGCTTTAGCCTGTGTTAACCTAGATTAGCTCTCTGTGTTGTTTAGCTTTCATGGAGTTGATTTGCTAGCCCTTTATGCTAAGTGTCTGTGTAGATGTGTCCTGGGAAGGAAAGGGTTATTTGGCACAAATTTCTCATCCTTATCAGAATATCTCAGATTTCAAGAGTGGTAAGTCTTTATGCAATAACAACACTCCTGGTTTTTCTGTGTTACTCTACAGCCATGAATTAATCAAATCCATGTTGGATTTGTCAGATCCTAATGTTTATATCTTAATGCTGACATGAGACCAACATCAGTACCAACCAGGTCTTTAGGGGTCTACAGAAGAGCAGGTCATAAACAAAGCTTTCCTGTCGTCGTCCCTGTGAATTGTACATTTGGTATCTCTGTGCCTAACAGCTGGTAAACTGGCTGAGATTTCTGGGAGTTGTAGGCCAAAACACTTGGGGTCCACAGTTAAGAACCTTTGCTATAAGACATGTTCTTTGTGTGTGTGCATATTATTTTTCATTTTTTCATTGACAATCACTGAATAAATGAAAACATTATTTCAGCAATATAGATGGGAAGTTACCAGCATGTGCATTGTGGTAGTGTTGGAGAGCTCTGAAAATCTTTTGCCAGCTAGCAGCCCAGAATTTGAATGAAATTACTTTGACTAAGAAGAATTTATTTATTCATGTGCTAAATGAATCAGTGCGCAGTTATTTCTATGCAAAATAACTTTTCACAGTGTAACAGAACTGGATTATATTCAGATAATCCTGCAGTGAGGAATATTTTCTTATCAACAGCTGGAGAACTATTACACTCAAGCCTTTGAGATGTCTACAGGAAGATGAAGAAAAGGTAAACTGCATTTCCATTAATCTAATGACGTAAAACATCACATTTTTCACTTTAGAGATGGGAAACCCTGGAAATTGGGGAGGGAGAATGGAAAAAATGGGGAAATTGGGGAAAGAAACAGAAAAAAACTGTTTGTTTCCCAATTTTTCCATTTTCCCCCCAGGCCTTCCAATCTCTTGTTCACTTAGAACTGGAAATTTGATTTGTAATTTTCCCTGCAATAAAACAGTTTCACCCTTAATCTTATATTATTAATGTTGTTCTCTTGGTATTGTAATGCATATATAAAGAGAACAAGATATATACATTGTTATATTACTGAGCTGCATGATTAATCATGGAGGACATGCAGAAAGATGTGGATGTCCCTGTTCCCCCAGTGCAATGGGTATGGGGAAGAGAATACAGGTTGAGTATCCCTTATCATATAAAGTTTAGGACCAGAGGGATTTTGATTTTTTCAGATTGCAAAATAATTGTATTTGCATATAAATACATAATGAGGTATCTTGGAGATGGTACCATATCTAAATACAAAATCCATGTATAGGGTCATATACACCCAATACACATAGCCTGAATGTCATTTTGTACAATATTTTCAGTAATTTTGTGCATGACACAAATTTTGTGTACAACAAGTTATCAGAAAACATAGCTTTCACTGTCTCAGCCATCCATGTTTTTGGAGTAGTTTAGAATTCCCAGTAAGGGGTGCTCAACATGTATTTGTAAGAGTTGTTACAGAAATTTGGAACAAGTAGTTACTATTTCCAGGCTAATACAAATCCACTCATCAGAGGACTTCCAACAGCCTCCTATAAAGCTGATTTGTGCTTCATTCTGAAGAAAATAAAAATAATGAGTTTTCCTGTTATCAAAATCTCCATGCAAATGAGGCAAATTCATGCCTACTACTAGACACGAGGTGGGGGGGGGGGAGAATACTGTTAGAACAGTGGTTCCCAACCTGTGGTCCACAAGAACTAAAATATGGCCCGCAACCTCACCGTTACTACACCGTTCTGTGTTGAGCAGATGGCGACTACTGGTTGGCATATGTCCTGTATCAGAAACTAGTGCTGATGTGGCCTATCCAATGCAGTTTTCTGAAACAGCATCCCAAATAACCAAACCGAATCTAAAGTTGACCGAAAACTAATTCGTAACCCTTTTGGTACTAATGTTGGAGAGTGGTCTCTGGTCAAAGTGGTCCCTTGTCAAAGTGGTCCCTGGTCAAAAAAAGGTTGGGAACCACTACGTTAGAAAGAGGAATCCCCTCTGCTGTTTGTTTTCTTTAAATCACATCACAAATGGGAAAGAGCTCTTATCTTAATTTCTATGCACTTCTCTAAATGTTTAAGTAGGATGGAAAAAAATCAGCCCTCCCTCTCATTTTGTGTCATTTCTTATCCTAACCTCTGTGTAATTGCCAGAAGACTCTTCTGTCCCTTTATCCCTTTAGGAACACAGGAACCTTTTTCATTTCTGATTCAGTTTGAACAGGGGTAAAATAGTATACGTCTTCCAGAGTCCGTGCAGCTCTTGAGATCAATTTTTGTGCTCCTAAAGACCTCAGAAAAAGTGTCATTCTTGAACAGTTTTTGTTCAAAAACTACAGAGAAGGCCCCCCCAACAATTTTGTTTTGGCAGGGCCTGATGAAATAATGTCACAACTTTTGGTTGCTATTTTGGTAGAGATTGAAGGGGGAAAAACATTTCTATTATGTGGAGAGAGGGAATTCACTATTACACTGTCTGGAATAACTGCTTTATTAGTCTAATTAATTGCCTAAAATGGATTTGCAACATCTTTCAAGAGCCCACTAAATTTATTTTTTGTGGGCTTCGTTGGTGAACCAATTGTAAATAATGGAATTTGGAAGTTGTTCACTGCCTGGTTTACCCTTTTCAGATTTTCTCCAATCTCAGACTCCCAATTCATTGCTGCTATTTATAAGACATGTTTTAGTATACTTGCTATATCAAGCCCTTAAATGGAAAACTGGGGTGTTGTGGTATGGAGGAATCGAGTAGCAACATGAAGAGAAATGATTTATTTTAGCACAGAGTTTCATAAATATCAGTCATCTTTTTCTGATTCAACTTGATTGAGAACCACAAAAGCTCATGCTAAAATAAATCAGTCTCAACGGTTCTACTGCATTCCTTCATTCCCTTCCTTCTATTGATTTTCTGCTGAAATAGAGGAACACGACTGTCTTTTTGACAGCTGTTAAGATATTGCTGAAATACCTTTGTAGAACAACTGCTCAGGCAGTTTTCTAGGTTATTAGAAAAGATCATAGTACCACTGTCTTCAAAGAGTAAAACCTAGACAGAATCAAGTAAGATGTCATCTGTTCATCAAAATACACCATACCATGTACTACAGGATTATTATATTACTGTTACATAGTAATCTGACAAATGGCCCTGACAAACAGTAATCTGACAAATAGAAACCCTGGTTTGACAGGGTTTCTGTAAAACATAACAATGCCATATTTCACAATCTGGACCTGCCAAAAAGTAGTGACAACTGAACCTAATAAAAGCCTCAATCCTCAATGATGCCAGACAGATGTGTGTAGTCCAAGCACGACAAATGTAATATTCACCTCAAGTTATTCTACAACAGATGCAAGCAACCACCCACCTCATGTTTTTCTCCAATATAAAAATATGTATTTCAGGAAATTAACATGCCTGAATTTTATCTATTCTTTGATTCTATGCTATCAGCATGGCACACATATGCATCTGTGGTTTAGAAAACACCTCTGAAACAGGGATTCTGGCTGATGACTTTATTGGAAGGATCCTTGTAAATGTATATTGCATGATCAAAGTGTTAGACATAAGATATAACAGAATGAAATCACATGTGTATACTGTAGATCAGCATTTCCCAAACTGTGTTCCATGGAACCCTAGGGTTCCAGGAAAACATCATTGGAGTTCTATGAAAAAATATTTACAATCTTTAAAAAAACTTTTAAAAGTCCATGCCAGAATATGAAAATTGAATTTAAATTCAGTGTACCTTTGCTTTAAAATGAAATTTGAATCTATTTAATTCCAAACTGACATTATAGAAAACACCCAGGAGGGAGTAGGATTAAATGAAAGAAGGGCTTAGGGGCAGTTAGGGTATTGTGGAGGGGGGAATCTTCTGAAGGGTTACATGACCCAAGAGGTTTGGGAACTGCTGCAGCAGATAGTTGCTTGTGTTGTAAGAGTTCTGCTTCTGAATAGATAAGTCATTTTCAAAATGAACTGCACCTTGTCTCTTCAGTTGTGGGCAGCTAATGCAGCAGAAACACGGTTCACTGATATCACAGTGAATTTTCATTGTGAGAGATCCACATAGGAATTGACAATTTCATATGAAAATTTTCCCATTATGGGGTTTAATTTAGTCTATCCATCCAAGCACATGGTATTAATATTGGTATTTCTGGGTCATTATGTATATTTTAGGAGCCCCCGGTGGCGCAGTGGGTTAAAGCACTGAGCTGCTGAGCTTGTTGATCGAAAGGTCGCAGGTTCAATTCCGGGGAGCGGCGTGAGCTTCCGCTGTCAGCCCTAGCTTCTGCCAACCTAGCAGTTCGAAAACATGCAAATGTGAGTAGATCAATAGGTACCGCTCCGGCGGGAAGGTAACGGCGCTCCATGCAGTCCTGCCGGCCACATGACCTTGGAGGTGTCTACGGACAACGCTGGCTCTTCGGCTTAGAAATGGAGATGAGCACCACACCCCAGAGTCAGACATGACTGGACTTAATGTCAGGGGACTACCTTTACCTTTACCTTATGTATATTTTAGGATGTTCAGATACTTATGACTAAAAGGTTTTACTGCTCTTATAATCTGACAACTTTAACACTTAGGTGGAAGATCTGTCTGATGATATCTTTGCTGTTCGACATGCAAAATATGAAGACAAAGAGAGAGCTCGATGGTCTCTGTGGGAGCAGTGCCAGTGGCCCAAAAGGAACAGGCAAGTTGAAATTGAATGTTTTCCAGTATTAGTCTTCTGAGGCTGCTGGATTTCCCCCCCTCTACAAGCAGATTCCCAAGTTCTTTGCTGTGATCTCTGGTGATTCACACAAGTGAATGACACAGTTCCACACAGATCATCCTTAGAACTTTCTAGAACAGAACAGTATTTTCACTAGGGGAGATATATATGCACACTGCTTGTGCTTATTACTTCACTATTTGTCATAATTTATGTTTAAAACAATTATTCCTAAACTGTGGGTCCCATTCCCAAATGGGGTCCCTTTAGCTAAATGCTGGGATCATGAAAAATTTGGCAATTGTAAAAGGTTTATGAACATCACCCATTTGTACAAATCTGTTAGCAACAACATATAGTGTTTACAGTGGACTCTCCAGAAGATGCTTCAGCTCCACAAAAAGGAAAATCAATTGTTTAGTAGCCTTGCAAATGCTAATTTGTTACCAGTAAATGTCCAATTTTTACACACATTTTATATACCTATTTACCTGGGGACTCAGAAAAAAATATTGGGTGGAAAGGGGTAGTGAGTGGAAAACACTTAAGAAGCCCTCGTCCAGAGCACATGGACCACGGGCCAAACCCAGCCTGCCATGTCATTTTATGTGGCCCTCCAGGTGCTGAATTATAACTCCAATATTCCTCATCATTAGGCATCATGATTAGAATTGTTGGGAGCTGTGATACAGTAACTGCTGAAATGCTGCAGTTTATTCTGTTTAGCCAGGATGGTGGAGTTTGAATTCAAACACAAGGCTGACTTTAAAATGTCCTTCAACCTTTCCCTAACACAGAGTCACACATGATATTGGGTTGCAATTCCCATTACCCCCAGTCTGCATGGTGGATAATTAAAAGTGGTGGGAGTTGTTCAATAACATATGGGGGCCCAAATTGGCTAAAAACTGAAGAGCAGCAAACACTAAGTAAATTATAGTGGCCCTCTGAATCAATGGATTCTTCATCCATTGATTCAATGGCCCTTTGAAGGGAGATATAAGGCTGTTGTGACCCTCAACACCCCTGGTCTAGACCTAACTTGGCTTTTTATTCTCTGAGTTGATAGGGGGAGCAAACCACATACTCTCAGGATATTCCCCACATGCTAACATACTTGGCAGGAGTTCAGAATTATTTCCAGTGAGGTTCGTTGACTTCCTTCCCTTGTTTGCATTTTTGTAAATTTCTGGCCTTGCCAACTTCATGAGTTTTCCTTAAGGTCATATTAAAACTCTTATATTAGGAACAGCGGTTAAGAGGGAGCAACTTTAAAGAACTTCAATAGTTCCTCTATATTTGTGGGTCAGGGGCACAGAATTCCTTTGAAAATGGAAAAACCTAGAATCTTAATAAAAATGCAACTTCTTTTTCTAAACAAACAAACCCAACAACCCTTTAAAGCATGGTTCTCTAGGCATTTGTAGATCATCCAATGTGATTTTATGGTTGGCCCTCCATATCCCCAGATTCAACAATCCACACCTGGAAAATACAGTTTAGGTATCCTTTCCCCCAAAATCAGAAAGGCTAAAAAACTGAAACGTTTTGCTGCCCCATTCTCCATCTCTTCCTTTTAGCAAAGAGGGCTAGTTAGTTATGCATCCAGTTCTGCATTTTTCTCAAGGAGTTGTCACTCCACCACCATCTAAGGTCTGACAAGGTACAGGGAAACAGGGAGGACTCTGGGTTTTGCTGCTAGAATTACACAAAAGCAGACCAGGGGAGAGAAAAGTCCAAATATGGAAGTCGGGGAATGTTGCAAATCTCTGGTTGCCTGGCCAAACAATGTTGCATTTTCCTTCTGCCCGGTGGGCAGGACAGGCAGCCTGGAAATAGGCTCAAACACAGCATGGAGCTTTGCAACATTCTCTGAGCCCATTATTGCAGCCAGATGCATTTGGACCCCCCCCCCCCCCCCCGCCAGATGTCTGCATTTTTTCAGGGGATTTGTACAAAATCTCTTTTTTAAAAAACTTTCATTTTGTATTGCTATCTGTAATTATAACATTTAAAATATAAGACATAATGGTAGATTTCGTAGATTATAACTAGCTTTTCTGATAAATTTCAAAATGTTTTACTTCCTGCTTCAGTAATAAATGTGAAACGGAATTGGTAGCAGATATACTGCCCTATATCCTAGGATTTGACCCCAGCTTATCGGCTTTGAACTTGATTATATGAGTCTCCATTGCCATATAATCTGGGATAAGAAGATAATCTAGGATCAGATCCTGGGATATAGGGCAGTGTGGAAGGGGCCTTGGGTGTAATGGGTGGCCTGATCTTGCTTTTTTAAAGGACTTCTTCAGTGTGTTCAATGTTCTTTTCAGAATTTTACAAAATCAGTCTTATTTTTATCAGAGTAGTTCTCTTTGGAAGAAGGTGAACCTTTTATTTCATTATAGAACCTACAGTAGAAGTTTTGAAGGACAAGATCCAGCACTAAAAGAAAAACAGGTCAACTCCAATTTGACACCCAATTTTTCTGAAAACTCCACTGATAATACTTCAGAGATATGCAATTATTTCTGCTCGGGGACACCACAATCTTCAGAAGGAAATCAAGAAACAACGGTGACTATATATTTAATAATAGCCAGGTCTGATTAATGTGGGGCTGCTGAAAGGTCCTGTTGTATTAGCAGAAAGAGAGATCAATCCTACTTCTGGTAAATATATTGTTAAACATTCTTACTCAGAATTCTTGCATTGTATTTTACTTTTTGAGAAGCACATTGTGTTGTTTCTGTAGTATTTTGCTGTTACGCAATAACTGTGTCATAGTAATTAATACCAGGGAATGGCATAGCGTAGGCTAGGGGTGAGGAAAATGCAGTTTTTCAGATGTTGAAGAACAGCAGCTTCTACTTTGTTGGCAAGCCTCTTGGACATAATTTGTGCTCCCCCCTAGAGTTTTCATATAACGTTGCTACTGTTATCATCCTTATTTATATCCCTTTTTATTAGAATAAGGACTCAAAAGGGTAATTTAGGAATAGTTTCAAAGATGTTATACAAGGTCCGGTCTTCTGAAAGCTTATTTTCTGCTAAATAGGATTTTAAAATTTTTTTATTGTAACATGGGAATGGGAGACCTTTGAGAGCTGCACCCCAACAATGTCTCTACCTTTTTCATTTTAAAACCTTTAAAGTGGGATTCTGCAATGTTTTTTGTTCAGGGGAAGTTTTCTTAAACCACAAAATAAACTGGAAACCAATTTTCGGTTTACTTCTTGTTTGAAGAAAATGTTTCTCCTGGTCCGTGGCTAAAGGTATGACAAGAACATATTTAGTAACAAAAAATTAGTTAGTTAGTTATGGGAAGCAGGGCCTTTAAAAAGGGTTCCATTCAGCCTGCAGGCCATACTTTACCATGCTTTGTTTTAAGCAATGATATATATTTATTGATAGATTACATCTTCTTTTGCTTCTTTATACCTTTCAGGCTGTTCTGTGGGCACAACGGACTTTTCCACTAAATGATAAAGAAGCAGAAGCTTTAATATGCCAACCTCTGATAACAGTTGTACCAGAAAGTTCAAATGTGGATATTCTCAGTAACTCTCACTGTCGTTCATATGGTGCCTTCAGTTTTCCAAATGATAAGCAGCCACAAAAGAAGGAAGAGCATGCCCAGTATTTGGAAACTAGCAGCCTGAGAAAACAAACGTGACAGAAAATAGCATGGACATTGTGAAATCTAATTAGGATGAAAGAATGGGTAAGGTAAAGCATTTTTGTGCTCGTACAAGCAGTAGCAGCTGGAACTATAATATTTATACTTACAACCCATGTTTTCTTTCCCCCCTATTTTTGATAGGCAGTATAGAAACACAAGTGTAGTTTCTTTTCATCTGAACAACAAGAAGAATGATTTGACTCCAGAGGACTAAAATCGATGTCAAAAGTGCATCTGCAACCAGCATTTTGCTGCCATGTTCTGAAAGACTGGAAAGACATTTTAAGTACGTGTGCAGTTGCAGTCCATCAGATAGTGCTTCTCCTCCCACTTTAGCTTTAGCTTACACAGAAAGTCAAATTAAGAAACTTGTGTGTGAGCGGCAGGCATACATATATAAATACATTGTTCCCTTTAAGGGGAATGTTTTATCCAGAGAAGAATCAACTATTTATAAATTTGATTATGTGGATACATACCTATTGAGTTTTGTTCTGAGGGGCCAAAATACATTAATTCTAATCAGTTTTTAAAATATTTTTTTGTGTTTTATAGTAGATACATATGGATTTTAAGTGCAGGGAATAGAAAGGACTGAGAAGTATTTTTAACTAAAAGAAACCCCCTCTCGATTTCACAAGAAGTATGCACTTTGTAACATTTGAGCAATATCCATTCCGCACTTGTACAGAAAAATTAATGTTTGTTTAGGTGTTACATTTAGCAGTGTTTTACATACTGTGCATAAACCAGGGTTTTTTCCTTATTCATTTTCAAATTTACTGTTTGGAATATCATCCACATCCTCCAGCGATGTGGATTGCCACTCACATTCAGTGGCGCCTTTTTGATTTGGCTAAGTTCTGCTGTCAAGAGGATAGCTCTTCTGTTTTAAGACTTTTTGAAGAAGGCATCTCGGTCAAGCAGGTTTTTATTCAGTGTCCTATCCAAAACTATGCTATAAAGTGGGTAGGTGGCCAAATTTTTGTTTCCTCTTTATTCCAATGGACTGGAAGTACACTGGATGTTGTAAAAATGTTCAGTTGCATTTCAACACTACAGCCTATGTTAGATTGTAGTTTATTGCAATTTTCTTTTAACTTTGGAAAAAAAAGATTTTTGTTCAAAGAATTAAACTTGGATCTTGCCTCTGAAACAGCAATTTTGAATGCAAGTTTTTAAAATAAAAAGTTATTTCTGTACATTACAGTGTGACATTGGTGGATAAAGATTTCTAGCAGCAAGCTGAACCATGTAAAAGGTTTCTCTTTTAAGATCAAGCTCCCCCTCTCCCTCTAATATCCTAAATTATGGGTCAAAATAACTATACACTTTATAATCCATTATGGGGGAACCTGTTTTCTAGCAAAGGTTGTTCTGCATTAACATCAGGCATTGGGTCTTTTCTTGCCCTCTTTTGCCACTTCTGTATTGGAGGCTATGTTCAAGGTCCTGAAATGTAGCCTGCAGTTTCTCCCACACTGATCTAGTTCTTCACAAACAAATCCTTTATGAACCCAATACTTTACACAAAATGCTTAGTGTATTGAAAAGTACTAGGTTCCATGCCATTCTTACATTAGCTGCAACTACTCCAGCTATAATGTTGGCAGCCTATTTCTATCCTCTAATGCAGTGGTCCTCAACCTGTGGGTCCCCAGATGTTTTGGCCTTCAACTCCCAGAAATCCTAACAGCTGGTAAACTGGCTGGGATTTCTGGGAGTTGTAGGCCAAAACACCTGGGAACCCATAGGTTGAGAACAACTGCTCTAATGGAACGTAAAGTTAATATGCCATCTGCCCTTACTATAGAAAATATTTTTTTCTGTACTCTTTCCTCAGTGTTTCAAACCTCTGGTCTTTAGGTTTCCACTAGGAATAAATAAAGGCACAAGTTTGCTAAAAGGTTTCTTATCTGCAACAACTATCTCTGATCTAGCCTACCACAAACACTCTTTTGTCACTCTATTGCATTAGCTTCAGCTTTTTAAGACACAAAATATAGAAACAGGTGTTCATATACTTCAGCTTATTCTTGTATGTATTTCACATCTCTGATTCCTAAAGGAAAACTTGTGATGGAGATCTGTATGGTCATTCCAATACTCCTGATTTTTCATTTTAAATATGGCCACTTTTACAGTACAGTCTGAGAAAGGCCATAATCTAATGAAAAGTTAGTGCCAAACATGCTGCCTGATGGAGGAGACATGCAAATTTCTCTGTATGGCAGAACTTTTATTTTCAATTAGCAAGTATCTCAAGATGGAAATTAACATATTTACCCAACTTGTAAAGGAAGAGATGTTTCCCAGTCAAAAGGCACTCTAGAGCAGCAGAAAATGACAAAATAGTAACATTTCACAAGTTGCTTGCATTGTAAAAATGTTTATGAAATGGAATATTTGTGAAAAGCATATATATTTGATTCATGATGCATTTCTGCAATATGGTTTTCCACAAAACACCTGGCATTTTTAACTTTAAGGAGCAAATAAACACTGCAGTTAAAAGTAGAGTATTTTTTTATTTAAAAATCCTGTATTATTTTGGTATTTCCATAATGAGATTTTCAAGTAGACTTTTGTCTCTTTATCTCCCTCTCCATTTAATTGTTCATTTTATACTCACGTTTTTGGACCTTAGAAGACTTGGACCTAACATTTATTGGCAAGGTCAGCCATTCTTAAGACTTCCCTCATCTTGTTTATTTCCAAGTATTTAAGATTAAGGAATGTATAATGTATGTTGAATGTGGGTTTCAAATACATTTGTCTTCCATGGTAACCACCACATACAATCTTCAAGCAAGAAGTGTCCATATTTTGCTGTCTCAGGCCAAGCAATTGTACTATATGAATATACCCCCAACTGGTAAGACAGTCCTAACACGTTTTCTATTTCCTTCATGACAATGGAGGAATGAATCTTCAGTGTTGCTGTCTTGCTGCTTTCATGATGGTTCTCATGCTCTTAATAGATACCAGTCTGATTTCATCGGTCAAGAGAACGCTTCTGTGCTGCTTCACAACAGACATTTCTCAGCAAATTAATCACCGCTCTAGGGTCATCGCTCTTCATTATAGCACTCCCAGACACAATCATATTTGCCCCTGCCTAAGAAAGAGCATAAAGTCTCTTATTGCATTAGAAAGATTACATTAAAATTAAATACAAAGTTAGTATGCCCCAGAGAGAAAACAGTAATATCTCAAATCAGTTCTTCTGAGTACAGGTCCCTTTTGTCCATTAGCAAAGAAAAGCATCACAATTCATCAAAAGTACAAGTTTGTTCAAATAACACAAAACACTAATATTTGAAGCAGTAACTCTAAATAAATGGGGTAGGAGATTTTTCAAATTTAAGCATTAGATTTTCTTTATATACTACTAACCGTCCCCTGCCACGCATTGCTGTGGCCCAGTCAGTGTATGTGTTTTGTGTGTGTGTAGATTTGTGTATATGTATATTTGTGCATATATATGTGGTTTTGTGCATGCGTTGTAATTTAATTTTTGGTTTTTTGGCTTTTTAAAAAGCTCTTTGAGTCGAGTATGGTGCCTCAGAGTGTGGCGAGATCTCTTTCTTTGGAGATTTTTAAACAGGTGAGATTGCCATTTGTCTAGAGTGCTTTGTGTCTTCCTGCAAGGCAGGAGGTTTGACTGGATGGCCTCTGTAGTCTCTTCAATGGCTCAATGAATCTATTTTAAAATATTATTATTATTATTATTATTATTATTATTATTATTATTATTAGTTTACCTGTCCCCTGCCATGTGTTGCTGTGGCCCAGTCTGTGTATATGCGTTCTGTGTGTGTATATGTGTATATATATGGTTTTGGCATGCGTTGCAATGTATTTTTATTTTTTGGCTTTTAAGTCTCTTCTACTGTGTTTTTCAGTGTTTTTATAAGTGAGGGTCACTTGTTGGCCTGATAGGTGTATTGTCTCCAAATTTGGTGTTAATTCATCCAGTGGTTTTGAGTTATGTTAATCCCACAAACAAACATTACATTTTTATTTATATAAATTAAAATGTTCCTGAAATTTTTATAAGATATAAAAATATGGTTTCCAATCTTAATGCAGACTGATTTTTGGTCTTACCTCTGCACATTTATGAATTGTGTCTGGCCCAACACCACCATCCACTTCAATATCCAAGGAAGGAAACTGTGTTCTCAACCAATGAACCTAGTTATCAGACCAGAAACAACAATTTACCAATAGATAATTACAGATCACATCTGTAATATTTTTTTTCAAAATTTTTATTGTAAGAATAGAATAATGCTTTTTTCTGTATGTTAAAAATGGGGAGGGGGAAAAGAAGATTGGGTACAGCCTAGAAAAATAAATTAGTAAAAAATGCATAAAAAGAAAAAATGAATTAAGAAAAAAAGAACAAAAAAAGAAAAGAAAAAGAAAAATTGAGTTAACTTTCAATCTTCTCCATGGGTTTCCACTTTATCTTGTTTTCTGATTTTGTTTTGACACTTTACCATCATCTGTAATATATGTTTTTCTATGTACTGAAGACTAGAATATACATGTTTAATATGACAGTATTACATGTGCCTGTGCACACCTGATCCACTTCAAATGAGAAATGTGAAATCTACCTTTGGCATCATATCTTCCATGAATTTCTGTCCACCAAATCCAGGTTCCACTGTCATAACTAAGGCCATATCTATCTGATTGGCCCATGGTGCTAAGTATTCTACTGTTGTTCCAGGCTTGATAGCCAAACCAACCTATGGAAGAAAATAGGCTACATTTTTATTTCAACAAGGGGGATACAATAAGACTATCAAGTTGATCCCATCAACTAACAAGAGAAAATGCTGCTGACTAAAGGTTTTCCCCACAACAAGAAAAGCTGTACAAATGTAGCACTCTTAAGTTGGCTTTCTGCTCTACAGGCACTCTCACTTGGATGCTACTATTTATACAGATCCAGTGGATGTAAATTTGCTTGCTGCTTCTCTCATGGTAATAGATACTTTTCAAAATGATCTACACAATATTCTTTTTCTATTTTGTATTTTGTTCTTGACCTTTTCCAATTAAGATACATGTGTCTGACAGTAATACTCAAAACTTTGAAAGATATTTCTCACACCTCACCTTCATCCCATTTTCTCTTATGTCTTTAATAAGTGCCCCTGCATTATCCGTAGCTTCTATGTGAAAGGTGTATTGATTGGCACCTGCTGCAGCCATGGATTTCACCCACTGTTCTGGTTTAGCAACCATCATGTGCATATCTAGAAAGATCAAAAGAAAATTAAAAAATGAATTATATGATATCCATTTCATGAATCACTAGCTGGAGATGGCATTAATTATGGATCAACCCCATGGGATAAAGAATCTGTCCCTATTAGAGAACATAACCTTTTAGAGAACCCAAAAATAACATATTTGGTTTACTCACAATTTCCATGTGTTCAGCATATACAGGTATAAAAACTTATTAGTCCAGTTTCAAATAACTTTGAGATGGTTCCCTGTGCCAGCCGGCCAGGGCATCTCTCTTGTAACAAAATAGCTAGCAACGGGTCACATAGTCAAAAGGAAAGAGAGAGAGCATGTGGTCTGCAGCCCCTTTTAGAATTTCTCAGAAACCATAGAGTAAAAGAAGCTGCACACCAGAACATACATACAGGAAACTAACAATACAATACAAAACTTTATTATGGTCACTGACCAGCACAAACTGGGACGCAAGCTCCCTGGGAAGGGAAAATACATCTGCCCAGTGAAGCAGTTATTTAAAAAACAGATTAGAAAACAATTTAAAATCACAGTTTAAGAACACAGGTTACTGTAGCAGGTATGGAACCGAGGGGACGAAGACTGATAGGAAGGGTCAAACACTTGGGGGGGAGGGCACTTACAAGCCTAAACTAAACAGTAAGCAACAAGATCATCGACAGATTGCTAGAGAAGGCTTGATGAAGGTTGTCATTTCCAACAGTCCCTGATTATTATTTAAAAACTAGGCGTGCTTAGTTGCTAATTCCAGGAAGAGTGGCTTTACATGCCAATTCCTATTTAGTAAAGATAATTGGAAGTATCAGAAACCATATTTCCTTTCAATAAGTCATGATTTTTCCAGGCTTTGAATGTGCCAGTTTTGCAGAAAATGCTTTATTTACACTGTTTGATGCATAGAAATATTTATGCTCATGGCATGCATACATATATATACGCACACATACACACAAGTGTGTTTGTTTTTAACCTGTTGTTCCTCTTCTATTTAAAAAAAAAAACACAGAGGCATTTTCGGGCATTGCTTGGGTTTATATCTGTTCCATATTCTTAATAGGACATGTCTCATAAAATGATTTTAAAAATCTACATTAACTTTGGCTTTATTGCACCATAAATATGCAGTTCATCCAAGCATCAGATCATGGCCTACCTCTTCTAATAATATTTTATTTCTCAGTCTTGTGGAATATTTATGTATTCTATTGCTTATGAGGCCATAGGAAAAGCTAGTGTGTGTGCCTGCATGTGTGTATGTCGTGTGTGCCTGCATGTGTGTATGTCTACAGATAAATAAAACTGTTAATCCATGCCCAATGTTTAATGTTTTATTTAATAGCCCAATAAGAAAGAACAAGCATTCCCATGTCTAGGGTATTTCACTTTAAGAAAAGATTTCTTATTCTTGGGTACTACTAGGTATAACAATGTAACACCAAACCAGGAAACAAAATATTAACTGTAAACTCAAGTAATAACTATAAACTCAAAATAGTAACTCTAAACTAAAATGTATAAAAACATCACAGATTTTTATTAGTTGGCAATAATAAAATGCAGGATTACAAACAGAACCACCACATATAGATTGCCCTCAGCAGTTGCATCCTATCACAACATATACATTACTCTTGTGAACATGTTTGTAGACAGCTCAATCCTGATGTAGTATTACTAATTTTGAGGATGTTTTCTTCTAAAATGGCTAGTTAATCCACCATATATTTAAGGCCTGTACAAATGAATTTCATAATAAATTCTGCAGAAATAAAAAGAAATAAGCACCTTTGAGACTAAGTAAGAAATTTTGTGGAGTCAATTTAAATCTGGAGAGCTAGCTGTTGCTTGATTCTTAATGACAACTATCACATGTCCCATGCTTTTGCACCAGTCACAGTACACTGTATACGTCTTCATACGTATACTATTCTTCATAACTTGAGACTGCATGTTTGTGGCATTATTGAGTTGATTTCTGAATGTTAATTTTGCAATGTTTATAGTAATTGTGTGTTTCTTATTATCCCACAATAATCTGTGTAAGAAGAGTTCCTAATCTGTGCCCTTCTACAACAGTGTGACATCAGAGTGTTTTTCAAAAGCCAGGACAAGGGCAGGTGTTAACTCCAGGTTTACTGAAATCTCATTACTTCTGAGCTCATCAAGATGTGAGCAAAATTCGAGCCATTTCTTCTGTGGTTACAGTTTCAGATTTCTGATGTATTCTGAAGTGTGTGACTACTAGTAGTGATTCAACATCCACAAAATGCAAGAAAATTATTTTTAAAGAAATATAACTTATGATAGACAGTTCAGCTGAGGACATCTACTACATGGCACAATTTTAAAAGACACCTCAGAGTAGGCACACAGTTGCTGAATATTATTTTGAGATCATATTAAATTGTCATAGAATTAATTTAATCCCAGCAATACAGATTAGTTGCTCAAAACTATGCTTAAGGAGGTAGAAAAAAGTTCCTGATTTCCACCACCAGCCCCAAAGAATGTGTGTGTACCCAAATAAAGTATACAATTCAGGTAAATGTTAATTGCTTACCAAAGAAGGGCTGCTGGCCCAGCTCCTTTCGAAGGCATTCTACCACAGGATGGCCAAAAGTGATGTTTGGGACAAAATGCCTATGGAGTTAAGAAGAAAATATTTGAGTATTACTATTCCTAAAGAATTCATTAAAAATGTGATTGCATTCTGTTGCAAATATATTTCATTTTATAAGAATTTGGGGCTGTGTGTTTCTCTTACCATTCTGCAAGGAACTCTCAGAGCCTCAGTTCTTTATTAAAGGTTAGTAAAATACCTCAGATTATTTTAATAAAGAAGATAGTTTATGTACTGCATAGTGTAATGAGTCCACAATTAGATATCAATGCTTTAAAAGTCTAGAGCTCTGCTAAGTACTATTGGTTGCATCCTAAGTTTAAATTAACTTAAGGAAGTTCTGTGAAAAAAAAAACCCTGTCCCCTCATCTTCTATTATCTAAAATGCTATTTAAACAATATGTGCTGTGAATGCAGTGAATAATATGTTTGTGTGAGGAGGAAACTTCTCAAAAAATAAAAGCCCCAATCTCTCAGTCTCACTCCCTCCCTCCCAGCCTGCAATGAGAAAGTTCTCCTTGAATTCTGAACACATGGTAGGGAAGCTGAGGAAGTGAAGCCTTCCCCTGGAGAGTTTAATACATTATTACAGTAAATAAGAATGTTTCTGGACCATTATGTACATAAAGAGGAGTATTGTGATTTCACAGTGGCTTCTGTTGAAACAGGTCCCACTCAATGATACATACGCAAGATTTTATTGTTGTGGCATGCCTTATTAGTGATTAATACTGTATATACTCGAATATAAGTTGACCCAAATATTAGCCAAGGCACCTAATTTTACCACAAAAAACTGGGAAATCTTATTGACTCGAGTATAAGCCGAGGGTGAAAAATGCAGCCGCTACTGGTCAGTTTGACAGATGACCACCCAGTCTTTCTGTCATTCCCCCCCCCCCCCCCCCCCCGCGGAGCACGAGCTTTCCTTGGCGGCGGCAGAGGAGAAGGAAGCCCCTGCGGCAGGCTTTTCCGCAGGCTTGCTCTCCTTCTTCCTGGTCCCATATGCGGCCACGGTGGCAGGGGCAGCAGCGGGAGGAAGCAGAAAAGCCGCGCATGGGGCAAGGGGCAAGTGCTCGCTGCTCCCCTTCCTCTATTGCCGCGCGCGCACTTTTTCAGCGGTGGAAGCTGGAAAGATGCGCGAGGGAGAAGGGAAAGGTGCGCGCCTCTCTCTCCTCCCATGCCCTGTGCGCACCTTTACCGCCGCTTCATCTTCCTCGCCCATCAGTACAATAACCACAATATTACATAAAAGCATAACAAAACCAGAAAATAAAATACATAAAATGCTAAACCAATATGATAGATGACACAGCAATATAAAATCAAACTTTAAAACACGACAGAATTACACTGGGCAGGGCCAAATTCAAAGATAAAATTTTTAAGGTTTGTATCTCCACTCAACCCACTGTTTGACCTCGTGCAAATTACAGACTCCGCCTCAGAGGAAGGCAAAGGCAAACTCTCCATGAATACTTCTTGGCAGTAAGACTGCATTGCAGAGTTGCCGCATAGCTGAAAACAACTTGAAGGCACAGAAGGATTAAGTCAAAACTGAATCCAGGTATGTTTAATCTATCCGGCACTACTGAACAGGCATGCCTATGCTTGTCTTTTTCATCCAATTGGCAACTAGGACAGCCACTCACAAAGGCTGCCCTACCTCTGAGAAGATTTGGGGGGAAGGGAGAAGACAGCTATCTATACCAACATGAGCTCAATAGAGGAAATAAAGGGAAAAGGAAAAGAGTGAATCACACTACGCAACAAAATTAGAAAAAAAATCTGCTCCTGGTTTGAAAGTGTTTAATTGTGCAGTCCTTACACATTGTCATGCCCAAAACACACTATTTGGGGCCTTGGTTTTTCACTGAAAAAAATTCAGGTGAAGTCTTCCCTATCCAGAAATCCTAAGTGCTCCAAAATCCAAAATCAACCACATGTTCTGAGGTTTGTTAAAGGCATCAAATCCAAGTCAGTACTTGGTTAGTATTTGGGTGGGAGACTAAGGGCCAGACAAAATTATTTTGGGGGCCTTACACAGGCCTGATGTTCCCCATCCTTCTTTAGATCAAGGGATTATAGGATCTACAATATCCCTAATCTCTATACCTGCTTCTTCAAAGGCAGTACAAACCCATCAGAAAAAGACTCTTTACCCAGTTCCCAAACTGAGAACCACCAATCCAGAGAGCCTTATCACAATGCAGATCAACGGCCTTATCCAATCAGTAACTGAGGCCCCTTTGACACTGCCATATAAAATCCAGGTTCTCTGCTTCGAAATTGATTATATGGTAGTGTAGACTCTTGGTTAACAGTACTGAAAGCCACTGAGAGGTGCAGGAGAATCAACAGTGACACACTCCCCAATCTAGCTGTCTCTATTCCATAACCAGGCCTGAAACTAGATTGAAATGGATGTAGATAATCCATTTCATCCAGAAATCCCTAGAGTTAGGAGGCCACCACATGCTCCAAGATCTTGCTCAAAAAGGGGAGATTAAACACTGGCCGGTAGTTGTTCATTATAGAGGGGTTCAGGGATGGCTTTTTAAATATAGACCTCACAATCGCCTCCTTTAGGCAAGTTGGAACTTTTGACCACCACCTTCACCCACTCTGCCAGCCCCTCTTGGCTTGTTTGATCAGCCAGGAGGGCAAGGATCTAGAATACATGTGGTAACTCTTAGCTCTCACCTCTCTAAAGATCCTGTCCACATCCTCAGGCTGCACAACTTGAAAGGCATCTGTCAACACTGGACAAGCAGGATCCAAAGTTATAATGTTATACACTTGCATTGGTCTCTGGCTTTGCAAAGATTTTTACTCTCCCTCCCTTGCTTGCTGTTGCACGCACACACTGAGCAAAGACATGTGAAGACAGCATGGAAAAAAAGATCTTAAAAGGGCATCTTATATGTCATTTGCAAAAAAGTTTCTTCTATGTTACAGTACCTTCATTTCAGCTGTTATGGAGGTCATCCACTAAAGTGACTAAATCTGCCAAGAGACAGGGTTCTAATCATTTTATCTTGCACAATTGGCCCGCCCTTTGTGATTGATTTTATTATGTTACTTTGCATTGTCTATTTTATTTTGTTGTATTATGTAGTAGTTGTGTTTAATTTTCTATTGTTTTGTATATTATTTTGTTGCATTATTTTTGGGCCCGGCCTCATGTTAGCCGCCCCAAGTCCCCATTGGGGAGATGGTGACTGGGCACAAATAAAGTTTATTATATTATTATTACTGTTTATGGAATTTTATGTATGTTTTATGCTTTTAACTGTTTTTATATTGTGGAATTGAATTGTACCATTTTGTAAACCGTACTGAGTCACCCACGGGCTGAAAAAGGCGGTATAGAAATATAGTGTGTGTGTGTGTGTGTGTGTATAAAATCCCTCCACCTCCGCCCCACTCACCCAATAATGGAAAGTCATTACTTTGCTTTCCGACTGTTCCATGCACACAAACTTTGTTACAGGCAAACCAATTCATGTGTAAAATGACCTTGAGGCAAGGGGTGTCCATGAAACAGAATCTCCTGTTTAGACTTGCAGCAAGAAGGTCCTCCATTGTGCATGTGGCAGGGCTCAGGATGCATTGCAGCAGGTGGTCAGTGGTTTGCTCTTCTCCACACTCACATGTCGTGGATTCCACTTTGTGGCCCCATTTTTTAAGATTGGCTCTGCATCTTGTGGTGCCAGAGCGCAATCTGTTCAGTGCCTTCCAAGTCGCCCAGTTTTGTGTGCCCAGGAGGGAGTCTCTCATTTGGTATCAGCCACTGATTGAGGTTCTGGGTTTGAGCCTGCCACTTCTGGAGTCTCGCTGAGATGTTCCAGCGTGTGTCTCTGTAGATCTTAGAAAACTATTTCTTGATTTAAGTTGTTGACGTGCTGGCTGATACCCAAACAAGGGATGAGCTGGAGATGTCACTGCCTTGGTCCTTTCACTATTGGCTGCTACTTTCCGGCGGATGTCAGGGGGTGCAATACCGGCTAAACAGTGTAATTTCTCCAGTGGTGTAGGGCGCAGACACCCCGTGATAATGCGGCATGTCTCATTAAGAGCCACATCCACTGTTTTAGTGTGGTGAGATGTGTTCCACACTGAGCATGCGTACTCAGCAGCAGAGTAGCAAAGTGCAAGGGCAGATGTCTTCACTGTATCTGGTTGTGATCCCCTGGTTGTGCCAGTCAGCTTTCGGATGATATTGTTTCTGGCACCCACTTTTTGCTTGATGTTCAGCCAGTGCTTCTTGTAGGTCAGAGCACAGTCCAGAGTGACTCCCAGGTATTTGGGTGCGCTGCAATGCTCCAGTGGGATTCCTTCCCAGGTGATCTTCAGAGCTCAGGATGTTTGTCTGTTCTTAAGGTGAAAGGCATATGTCTGTGTTTTAGATGGATTAGGGATCAGTTGGTTTTCCCTGTAATAGGCAGTAAGAGCACCTAGAGCAGTGGTTCTCAACCTGGGGTCCCCAGATGTTTTTGGCCTACAACTCCCAGAAATTCCAGCCAGTTTACCAGCTGTTAGGATTTCTGGGAGTTGAAGGCCAAAAACATCTGGGGATCCCAGGTTGAGAACCATTGACCTAGAGCTTCGGAGAGCTTCTGTTCAACCATCTCAAAGCTCCCTATTTGGGCGGTGATTACACTATTGTCAGCATAGTTGAAACTCTCTGTCCCTTCTGGGAGTGGCTGGTCATTTGTGTAACTCACAATATCTGCTTTGAATGGAGCTGAGTTGACACTGCCTTATATCCTAGTCCAAAGCAGATATTGTGGACTTTCTGCCTTGGTATTCTGGGTTGTATGGCTGTGCGGAAGGGCCCCAATATAGCTCGTTAAGTAGATGCAAAGATCTCGAATCCCCCCCACTCCCCTCAAAAATATCTGGAAGCCAAAACTGCTAATTCTTCCTTGTCCCAAGCATTAGAAAGGTTAAGGTCACGAGTGACGTTTCCTCCAGCCAATGAAGGCTGGCCTTTTCTGGACCGGAAGTAGTGTCCAGAAGGCACACGAAGCGCGACGTTACCCGTCCATGACGTCCAGGTGAAGGTAGTCGGCCCCGCAGTCCAGCATGCGGGTGCATTCGGCGCCCAGGGCCGCCAGGTCACTGTTGAGGATGGAGGGGCCTATCCGGCACCCAGACGCCATGGCTGCTCCGCCGAGGAGGAAGAGGAGGCCTCTCCGGCCCTGCAAGAAGGCCCCCCGGTTGCTAAGCAGGCTCAGCAGCGCCGTCTCGCTCTCTTTTTCCCTCAAGGAAGAGGGCGTCACAGGAAATCCTCCGTCACGAGGAGAGCATGACGGGAGTGGTAGTGCGAGCCCTACTCCACCTCCATTGCCATGGCAACACCCTGTGGAACCCTGGGATAAAGGACGGGGCCACAGGCAATACTTTCTTTCCTTATGCGCCCAAAGAGGCACGGGGGCGGGGCAAAGGAGGGAAGAGGAGCTGCTATTGGTCTACGCCTCTCTCACTCTTTTAAAGTAGAGGCCACGCCCTCAAATCGCCTCATGGAGCAGGGACGGTTTTGATTGCGTGGCTGCGGACAGCTGGAAAAGGCTCTCAGCCAATCACTTCTAAGGTCGTCCCATTCCCGCCTCCTTCCTAGTATTTATTTAACCAGCACGCAGACTGGGCTGTGTATGGCTCTCTTGGCGATTGGGCTTCTCATTTTGGTTAGGATTTAGTTTTGTAGGGCTTTTGAGTGCAAAGCATTTGACAAAAGGAGTTCCTCTCTTATCAACTCTGCTTTTTATTTGGTTTTACTATGTATTTTACCTACATTGTAATAATAATGGTAATAATATTGTAATGTAATAATACTAATATATATATAATACTAGCTGTCCCCTGCCACACATTGCTGTCGCCCAGTCTGGTGATCTGGAAAATAAAGTAATGAGAAAGTTTTGGTTTCTAATATACGTAATGTCTTTTATGCTTGTGGGTAAACAGTATTTCTTGCTGTTTCTTTGTCAGTGTTGATGTGGAGAGTGTCTGGTTTGCCCACTCTGGAACATGCAACATATCATTGTTCTTCTTTAGGGGTCCCTTTCAAATCTCTCTGTGTGTGAATCATATATATCAGTGTTTCTCAACCTGGGGGTCGGGACCCCTTCGGGGGTCACGAGGGGGTTGTCAGAGGGGTTGCCAAAGAAAACACAGTATTTTCTGTTGGTCATGGGGGTTCTGTGTGAGACTTTGGCCCAATTCTATCATGGGTGGGGTTCAGAATGCTCTTTCATTGCAGGTGGACAATACATCCCTGCGACTACAACTCCCGAATGTCAAGGTCTATTTCCCCAAACTCCACTAGTCTCCACATTTTGGCATATTGAGTATTCGTGTCAAGTTTGATCCAAATCCATCATTGTTTGGGTCCACACTGCTCTCTGGATGTAGGTGAACTACAACTCCAAAACTCAAAGTCAATGCCCACCAAACCCTTCCAATATTTTATATTGGTCATGGGAGTTGTGTGTGCCAAATTTGGTCCAATTCCATTATTGGTGGAGTTCAGAATGATCTTTGATTTACCTTAACTATAAATCCCAGCAACTACAACTCCCAAATGACAAAATCAACTTTTTTGGGTGATGGTCATTCCTTGGGTTAGTAGGTGTCTTATGGCCAAATTTGGTGTCAGTTCGTCCAGTGGTTTTTAAGTTCTGTTAATCCCACAAACGATTAATAATGCAATATAATATTATGTATACGTAATAGATTCTCATATTTGGCAAACCTCGGCCTCCTCTTTTTTTATCGTCATTCAGTATTTTCTGTTTGTAATAATTGTAATTGTTTTTGAAGGGCATTTATGGTCATAATTAGTTTTTTATCTCTAGGGTTTTTTTTAAGGGAATCTTCTTCTTTTTTAAGTTTTTCCAGAATTTCCTTTGTCTTTTTATTTCTATTCCTCTTGTTTATCACATCTTGCTGGATTAGATATCCTCTCATTACCACTTTCATGGCTTCCCATTGTATAGCTTTGGATGTTTCTTCTCCCTGATTTAATTCTAAATATTCTTCTATTAATTTCTTGTTTCTTTCTATGTCCTTATCTTTTCTTAGTAAATGATCTTTAAGTCTCCATCTAATAGTTGGTTCTTTACCTTTAATTGTGAGTTCTATTGCACAATGGTCTGAGAAAGTTCTGGTAAATATATTTATTTTTTTAGTTTTTCAACTTATTGATTTTGTTGCCCAGACCATATCAATACGTGACCATGCGCTGTGTCTTCCCGAAAAAAACGTGTAGTCTTTATCTAGACCATTGTGTTGTCTCCATATATCCACTAGGTTTAAGTTTTCTAATTGTTGTTTGATTTCAAAGATTACATGGAAAAAAGAGAAATACCGTTAGTAATAGATCTAGCTTGCATTTAAGAAAGGAAAGACTGGGGAGAATAGAGTCGCCAGTACATAGGAAGAACAAGGACATTTTCACGATTGGCAGAAATATAATATGTCTTGGAAGACTTTGGGAAGTCACACTGGTGGAGGGATTATCTCTCTTGATTACCGGGTGTTGTTTTTTTTTCTCCCCCTTTCTCCACTTAATCCTCTCCCCGATCCCTATATCCCTTGCACTGGACTGTAATCAAACATAAAACTCAATAAAAATTTAAAAAAAAATATTATGTATACTACAACTTATGATATAATACAATCTATATAAATAAAAATGTAATGTTCGTTTGTGGGATTAACAAAACTCAAAATCTGCTGGACGAATTACTGCCAAATTTGACACCTACTAATCCAAGGAGTGACCATCACTTAAAAAAAACAATTTTGTTATTTGGGAGCTGTAGTTGCTGGGATTTATAGTTAATCTACCATCAAAGAGCATTCTGAACTCCACCAATGAGGGAATTGAGCCAACCGTGGCACACGATCATACGATGCTAGCATCATAAAAACAACCACGGTACAATCAGAATATTAAAAAATTAAAACAACAATTAAGACACATCCATTAAAATCGAAATCCAATCCTGCTGTCACCTGGGATTGTGACATCGACGATCCATACTTTGTTTTTTAACACGATTGTGAGGTCAGGAGTATTATGCTCCAAAACTCTGTCTGAATTCGGAAGTCCCAGAGGAGTTGTTGTTGTTGTTGTTGTTGTTGTTGTTGTTGTTATTGGAAAGGATAACAGAAAGAGTGGTATCTTAACTCTGATGCTTTTCATCCAGATCTTAATGAAAGATATAGGGACAAACTATGCCTAAAATGACAGGAAGGGGAGCTTGGGAATCCCCGCCCCGGGGAGGGAGTTTGGGTTAGGATAGAAAACTAATCTTTCAGCTTCCCAGAAGAAAACACCTCCCGAATTCGGGAGGTTCCTGAAAAACAGATCGGGAACCCCACCAAAATCTGGGACACCAAAATGGATCGCAGTTTACCTGGATTGCACAAGCCTACTGCCTACTAATTTCGACTTAATTAGCAGAGAAGGATCAATATACCCCAAGCTTGTTAGGTAGTTTAAAAACTGCCAGAAAAAGGAGGAGTCCTAATGGAAACCAACAGAAAAAGAACAGAGGACTCCTGCCAACAGAGACTGGAATCTGGGTGGACTGTTCCTCATGCCATTTTATTATTATTATTTTATTTCTCGCACTTCTACCGCGCCCTTCTCAACCCCCGAGGGGGGACTCAGGGCGGCTTACAAAGGCACAATTCGATGCCAGCACAACAACAAGGTAAAAAATAAAACATAAACAACAATTAAAAACAATCCACTTATACCTCACAGTCCCTAAAAACCAATCTAATGCTCAATGTTTACCAGCTCAGAGTCTATAAATTCCATTCCACATTGTCAATCCATCGGTTGTAGTCATCACTTGTCTTTTGTCTATCTGTGAGATTCCCTGAAAGCCTGGTCCCAGATCCATGTTTTCAATTTCCTTCTAAAAGAGAGGAGGGATGTTGATGACCTAATTTCCCCGGGGAATGAATTCCACAGGTGGGGGGCCACCACTGAGAAGGCCCTGCTCGTTCCCGCCAACCTCACTTGTGATAGAGGCGGGGCCGAGAGCAGAGCCTCCCCAGAAGATCTTAAACTCCAAGGTGGGACGTAGAAGGAGATGCGTTCGGACAGATACGCTGGGCCGGAAAATGGATCCTTAGAAAAGTGACATTATTACCATGGTCATGTTTCAGTCTCTGGGGGAAAATAAATGCTACAAACAAACATTCTTCCAAACACAGTTAAATAGTTATAGGCAATGTTTTATTATTTATGCATATTTAAACATTAAACTATTGTAATCTCTCATAAACATAACTCAAACATCTCTAGTATATTTCCATTCCATCTTTGGTTATTTGGCACCCATTGCAGATCTAGAACACCCCTTGAATCCATTTTAAGTGCTACCATATTTTTCATGGCATATCACTTTTTCTGTGAACACAAAACATCAATTTCAGTGGGTAAAAAGAGATATTTGGATAGGTTTGATTTCATAATTCGTATAAACCAGTCTAGTCATAAAATCTTCTCAATTTCAAATATTCTCTCTTAACATGGAAGAATAGCCCTTCCTTCACTTCCTATACTTTGCTATATACCAGCAAGAAAGTAACATTCCCCTGACTGCCCTGAGATAATTTGGCAACTATATATAATCCTATTATTAGTAATTTTAGAAACATTCATACTTTATTTTTCTGCGATATATATTTGTATATATCTCTTTGGCAATGAGAGTGTGAAAATATATTCACTTTTTAAAAGGAAGAGTCTGTTTTGGGAACTGGGAGAGAAATAGCCTGCTTGTGCAGCTAAAACTGGTTTGAGTTACACTTTTACTGCCAATTTTGCTTTTTAAAATATATCTTTGCAAAGGTTTTATAGACATCAAAACCAATTCTCAAGTCTAGATCACTTTTTTTTTCAAAACCGTGCAGCAGCATTCTTTAAAAATACATCCCTTGACATTCTTATACACATACATGTACACAGAAACACCTATACAAAGATTTCAACATTAAATACAGCTATATTTGGGATGGAGGGGAGAAATCCAGACAAATGCACAGAAGATGGTCATAGTAAAGATTTCCAATACAGTAACGTTCCCTTCCTAGAAAACTGAGTGGGGATCGGATGCTGCTTGAAAAGCTGTCAGGAGGCACATGTTCAAGAGGGAGTTTACAGTAAACGGTGTGAGGATGGCTGTAATCTGGTCTCACAGTTTTTTTTAGAAGGGACAGCATGTGATTTTTAATAATATTAACGCATGTAATGTAAACAATCAAACACTGACAGACACCTTTTTTTAAAAAAAACAACACATTTGTTCAACATTACGTGCACATAAGGCC